TAAAAACGAGACGCGTAATAAATCCATAATCCAAGGCGACAATTTGAATCATTGCACTGTAAATGCAATAGCGTTCCCACTAGGCGATGGTTGGTGGGATGCGAAACTGTGTGGTGGGGGGGAATGGGGAATGGTCTGGTGTGGTGTGGCGTGGCGTGGTGTGGGTTAACAGCGTGTTGCTTGACAGGCAGCGTTGTCACAGCTGCAACTGCTGCTTCTGCTGCTGCTGTAGCTCGAGCTGCCAGTTTTCAGTTCTCAGTAGCCGTTTACCAATTTTGCAGCTCCCATCCAAAAGACAAGACAGTCGCAGCTGCAGTCACCGTTTTGTAGATGCCGCTGTTGCCCTTCCGCTTTTTTTTTTATTATATTTTATATATATATATATATATTTTCTTTTTTTGTTTTATTGCATTTCACTTTACTGGCTTTTAGTTGTTTTTGCTACCCTGACGCCAAATTCATTTGCCCCCCACCAATCGTTTCCATTGCCAGTTGCCACTGCTGTCAGGCATGTGAAAATTGCATTTTATGCTGCGCTACTTGCCACGACGCTACCCTATCCTAGAGCCCCCAACCCCACAGTGGCCGCACAGCCCAGCTGCTTAGCGAGACGGATCCTTGTGCTGTGTGTTTGCCTTTGCCTTGGCAGTTAAAATAATCATAATAAAAACAAAATCCAGCGCACAAATGCGCCACAGACGAGACGAAGACGTAGAATAGGATTGAGCATCGGACTTGGTATGGGAATAGAAGCGCATTAAAGGAGCAGCAGCAGCAGCAGCAGCAGCAGGAGCAAAAGGAACAGCAACAGCAACAGCAAAAGCAACAATAGAAACGACAATGAATGTCAACATTTGCCAGTGCACTTTGGCAAACAAACGGAAGCTTGCAGCAGGACAGGGCTTTAACTGGGACATGCGACAGGAATGAACGTGAATGCTTCACGTCGGCTTAGTTATCTTGATCAGGGCAAAACAATCCATTTAATTTGTCCTTAATGAAGTTTGTAAACGAAGAGCAACAGCAACAGTAACAGCAACAGTAATAGCTGGACTTTGGGGTCATACAAAGCTGACGTCCTTCGATTTATTGGCCAGCCCCGTTTTCAATTGGCATCGGATTTTCATGTTGCGGTTGGTTGGCAGCCAAACTGGCGAGACCCTTAGCCAGGATCTGATGTTAATTTGCAAATGGCTCGGTTCGGTTCAGTTCGGTTTGGTCTGCGGCATGGCATAACGCTATCGCAGCAACAACATCGTCAGTGCCACCACATTGGCTGACAACTGCAGCTGACTGGTCAATTGGCCAATTACGCGCATAGCAAAAATTTGCGATTACATAACCAACCCTAGCAAAGGCTGCTTAAGTTTTTTGTGTAACCAGTTTTGCTAACCCCCAGACAATAATACAGAATTCTGATTTTTTATTTAACTAATGCAAACTTATGTCTCTAAATATGTATTTTTCCAACTTTATTTTCATACGTCAAAATATTTAAATATTTATTTATTTCAAATTCTATGTCCTTGTGCATGATTTAGGATATCTACCTATGTAGATGTATAAAAATAGGCAAGCAGTGCCACTAAAATATGCATGTATAATATTAATAAATTCATTGGCCGATAACTTTTACATTTTATTTTCCCGTAGCTCAGTATTGAAATAACAAAAATGCGTTTGCTCTCTGACTCTGGCAATAAATTTTTAATAATTTCTTAAAAGGGCGAAAAAGGTTACAAGTGCAACTGACATTTTAAGTTTATTTTGTGGTTTATTGACTTAATTTGTACGGCCGTCGAAATTGGGTCTGAAAAATGAAGTTTTTCTATTGAGAATGATATGTGTATATATATATGGCCATGGGATGCAGGACATTGCACATTCTAATTTGTTTTGCATTTCTTTCGTTATACTAATTTTCAACATTTGCATTTTGAACTCAACCAATTTCGATGCACGTTGCACATTGCGCATCGAGATGGAGATGTGGACGGGAACGGGGACCGAAGAGTAAAAATTCTGTTGGGACAGTCTGATATGCAACGACGAATTAACTTAATACATTTTCGCAAACATTTATCGTTGCCAGTTTGTCCGAAACGAAAATTTGTCAACTGTATTGGACAGCCGACATTGGACATTGGACATTGCTGATTGACTGGTCGAAATGGCCAAAGCAAATTACTTACTGAACTCAAACCTGGAGCTTGACAAAAACAGGTTACACAGGTTACAATATACAGTTTACAGGTCACTGGCCACTGCTCATCGGCCAGCGGTCACCGGTCACCGGTCACCGGTCATTACTGGCTAAAAGGTAATCACACCAACGCATGATTGACAGCAGGCAACGACAAAGGCAAGGCAGGAGTACATCAATGACGACAAGGACATCGACCTCGCCTAATATTCATGCACTAACCAACACTGTAATAATGGCTTGCCCCAAGTTCCCACACTCACTACACCCATCCTTATGGCGTATCTGTCAATTGTTTCTGGAAATTGTATCTGGCAATTGTTGCTTAGGGATTGCAAGAGAGTTAAGAGTCTGTATGCGCTTCAGATACATACATATATATTATTGCATATTGCATGATTCAAGTTAATTGTTATCCGCTTTGCTTAAACTTCCATAATTTGTAAACAAGAATAGCAAATAATTTACTGTGTGTGTCAGAAATCATAATATAAACTCATTTTATAATTTTATAGTTAAGCTGTTGAATTAATAAAGACAGTATTTAAAGTAAACATAAACGAACACATATTGCTAAATACAGAAATTAATTGCTCATTTGTATTACAATTGACGACTTTAGACAACTAAAATTGTTTATTCCACTCGGTTTCTGTATTACTTATACGGGATTTAATGCCGGTTCAGCTTTAAGATAGTACAGACTACAATCACTTTAGCAGTCATCTAACTCACTCCTCTTTCATATGTATGTATGTATGTATGTATGTATGTATGTATGTATATACCTCTGTCACTCCTTGCCGCAAATGGAAAAGCACTTTCTCACTAAGTGTGTGCACGATTGTGTGTCTGTGTGTGTGTGTTTAACCAAAATCAAGCCGACTATTTTGCATACGCAAATAAAAATAAATAAATTGAAATACGCTGAGCGCCAGAAGCGGCATCCACACTGAGAGGCAGCTCAGCACCGCCCTTTAGCTAGCACATAACACGCATGTAAATCGACGTTTTACAACACAAATGCCACCTGTGGGGCCCACCAGATTCTGACCCGTTAGCTGGCGCTGTCTGGGGTGTAGTTGGCAGCTTACAGGTAAATTTTCTTTTGCTCCACTTGGAAATGGAATGGTTGGGGTAGTAGAGCTGCCAATTGTTGAAATTGTGTATGGTCTGCTTTTCCCCTTTGCGCCTCTCCGTCTACGCCATATATTTTGCATATTTTTCGATTTTCAGCACGTCAAAATGGGCTCTGTGACGGTTTCGTTTGTGCTACACTTGAAGTCACTACTCTAAACATATATGTGGTTTTATTTTATTTGTATTTTTTTTTTTTTTTTCCAACAAGAAACGAGTGGTTTAAGGGTTGGCAAGTCCCCAAACCCAAGATCGCAAAAATGTTTGCACCGTAAGTGCTTTGTGAATTTAGAATGTCAAGATATGGGATATAATAAAGGATGGGCATGGAAGAAACGCTTTAAATATTTATTAAAAAAATAAACAAACATCTTCTGAATTAATTTATGCCCGAGTGCTATGCAATCTGGATAATCAGTTTAGACATACGTGTAACAAGTATCGAATCGAAACTGTATATGGCTATGGCTATGGCATATGCCAGCCAATACATATATATATATATTTATATATTTGGTTATTCAGGCGGAGGCAATAAAGATTGCTTGTCGATTAAAGCGTTTTAATCAATTTCTGAGTCAAGTTTTTCTTTTTGGACGAGGACGAGGACGCAATTACAACTAATTTACTGCTACCACCCCGTGTGTATGCAATAAAATGAAATTAAATGCTATAAATCAATGCCAAATACGTTGAGAGCTCTCCCAACTTAGAAGCAGCATTCATATTTATGGCACCAACAATATCGCCTTGACCTTTGGCCAAGCCGCTGCCGACAAAGCAATCGCAGTTGGCTGCAACATTGTAGGCTTTTTTGTCATTTTGGTAAGCTCAAAATTCATTGGTGATGAATTTTAATTCAGCTCTTGCCGTTATACAACTGCTCATGGGAGACCGAAATGCGATTTGATATGTATCATATGAAGCTGTTGATGTAATTTAAAGGCAAGTTAGCAGTAGGTCAATATGCAATTGACAGTTTACAGGATTCGACAACAACTGTTAAGTAATGTTTGATGGAAATGTTTCTCAATGGCAATGTATACAGAAACATATTGTTAACCGAACAAAAAAACCAAAGGCAACACAACCAACATTAAGAACAAAGCATAGAAAAAAATGAAAAGCAAAAAAAAGCCAATCAAATGGAAGAAAAATGGTTAACGGCTTGCGAGTGACCCGTGGCCTGCTGGTCGCCGTTCCAGTGCTAGGCAACGAACCAGCAACAACAAAGGCAAGTGGTCAATACCTCAAAGAGGGTCTGTGTGTGTGTGCATGGTGGAGAGGAGGGTGCGTCGCTAGAATAAGCATTAGAAACCATGTGGCGGGACCACCTGATTTGCTCCCCCACAGACGGCTCTATGCGGCAAACAAAATAGTCACAATAAAATGCCAACTGCCAATAAACGTCAATAAATCAAACAATTGAGCGGGCCAAGTTTTGTGAAGCCGTGCGCCAAATAAGTCCAGCCAACTACGTGGACCCCTAACAGTTCCAAGCAGTCGGAGTAGTCCGATTGACCACAAGCCAAGCGAAGCAAAAAAAAAAAAAAAACAACAACAAGTAAGAACCGTCAAGCATAGCCGACAACGTAATACGCTGTTCCCAAACTAATAGCAGTTGAACTTTTCTACCTGTAAGAAGTTTATCAAATATATATAGAGCTTGTACGTTTATTTACTCAATCCTCCAATTTGTGAACAATTTGTATGTTTGTAATTACATAAATGAAGTGCTAAAGTTTCTATAATTGGACATAACAAAATCGAAGTTGAAGTTAATATAGAAAATATATTTAAATTTCTTGACAGATTTAAATATACTTTCTATATTAGCAGAACTTCAATTGGTTATAGCTATTTACATATATAAAGGAACATGGAATTTGTATGATAATTTTAGTATTGACAGTCAACAAGTCCAAAAGAGCTAAATCAATTTAAAAGAACGGATTTCACAGCGAATTTAACTGGCATCATTGGAGTTGAAATTATGTGAACTTTAGCATGTGTAAATGGTCTTTACGACAGACTTCGAATTGGCCATGTTGTCCGTGTGTAGTTGATAGCGTAGCTCATAGCTGCTATCTATGTGCAGGCCATCACGCAGCTTGCCCCCAATCTCGAGAACGGCTGCCTCATCGCTCCCATTGGCTGTCCATATTGATATTTTGCTGTTTTTGATTCGTGTGTTGACGACAGCACCACACAGCTCCTGCGAGCACTCACAACTCTCGCCGATCAGCATCATCATGGTGTCCAACCAGATATTATCCAAAGAATTTTTATTGATCTTGTTGATGTTGATTACCCAACGCCCGCCCTTCACATTGGCCTCATCCTCCCACATGGGCCGTATGCCTTTCTTGAACAGGCAATAGTCGCTGCCCATTTTGATCTCCGACGGCGTTTTAATATGATGAATTAGGCTCCAGAAGTTCTCGACCGTATTGAAAGTGAAAACCTCGTGTAGCATTTCTTCCCAATTTTTGGTGCGATCAATCTCTAAATACCATAGCGTCCACTCATTTTGCAATGGATGATGCGGTTCACTTGGTAACTGCTCCGTCTCACTGCTGTCGATCACTGGCTCATCGCTGTCCATAACCGCTCCAGCTCCATCACTGGGATCGCTGCGTCCCAATGGCATAATATAATCCATACCAGCTGTGTACCCATCCACCTGCAAACGAGCACTCGACTCTTGCGAGGAAGCGTTTTCGCCATCGTTGCTGCGACATTCTGCATTCAAGTTGCTCTTGTGGCTGCCGCTGAAAGAGACCGGTTTCGGGACCATCTTGTTGCCACTCTTATTAAACGAGTCACTCTGTACTGGCTGAGTAGAGAAATCATCGTTGTTGGAGCATGACTTGAACATGGTCCTTGGATTGGCAAAGTTCTTCATCTTGAAAAGTTCAAGCTACTACAGAAGAGACAAAATGACTTCAAGATACTCCGATATACGAATATACCATTTATAAGTTTATGGATATGTGTATGCGCATATGTATATACGTATATACATACATATTGGTCCAAGAAAGAAAGCCATTGCGCTTAGTTAAATCATTTTTGTATTCTTTTTTTTTATTAATTATTGTCTTACCTTTTCAAACGAAATAAATGTGATCGCAGTCGATGAGGAGTCGCTGAACTTGGATACTAATGCAAGTTTTTTCGCTTTGAATTTGTAGGATTTTTATAATATGCGAATGATATTATATCTCAGCTGGAAAGCTATTCGAAGCAGATATTTCTGGCAACGCACACTTGGCAAGCTGAGTTCAAGCGAAAGTGATTTAGAAAACTGCCCACATGACACTCAACTAGGACTAACGTAAACCAAGTAGGCATTGTTGGAGCACAAGTTTATATAAACACAGCATCGTTTAAATTAAAACTGATGACAAAATTACAATTCTCTATTTAGCTGTTTTTTTTTTAGTTTATATATTTTTATATAATTAATTTATTGTTTTCAAATGTGAACATCAAGGTAAGTGCATCTCCAATATTTCTGGAAGGCAAATACAAACTTGTGGCTTTAAGCAAGTACGAAACACAAAGAGTGTTGCAAAACGATTAAATCCGAAGAACGTACAACTCACTTGAAACATGTTCAGCTAATTGTACCTTTACAATGCACAAATACACTGACACGCAAAAGTATCTTCATAACCTGTATCCACTAAAAATTGTTTAAAAAAAAATACACATTGGCTTAAACACAAAGTATAAATATTATCTGAATCTGCAAATTTCGAGTTGATCAGCCATATGTCTGCCAATCAGATCGATATACTTCAAAGCTTTAAAAACAAATTCATTCAAACAACAAACATAAAAACACTTTGAACAGCAATATTACAGAAAACTAACGAAGAACTAAAAAATTCAAGTTAAAAAATGATATGCTTACATTTTAAAGAGTATAGGTATAAACTTTAAGTTTAGGTAAGCTTACATTTGGGAATTAATATTTGAAATATCTTTTATATGCTTTTGTGAATCTATCAAACTACGACTGTATGTTTGGGCTGGGTGCAGGGTATCTATTAGTGAAGCATTCTCGTCTAGGGCACTAGTATAGTTTTTATTGTTGTTCAAATTCATTTTAGAAAATTGACAAGAAACCAATACTAAGTAAATACAACTCGAAAGATCGCTTTTGTTTCGAATGCTCGACATGCTTCGGATCTACTGCATTATACATTTCATTATATCAGCGACAACATACAGTTTTCTATTTTTTAAAAAATACTTGCTTATATATACAATAAGTCAGATTCCTTCTGGACAAAGTATGGGGTATGAAATGTCTTAAGCTGAAAGCTGACCAAAAGAGCGAGCAAACGTGTGCAGTGTTGAATTGCGAGTCGGATTTCGAGTTCTGCCCCAAAGCCCAATTTCGATTCCAATCGCACGCAAAACTTGACGAGTTTCAAAATAAATATTTACACACACATATATACCCTCATGCACATACAGAAGCACATTCACACACACACACACATCACTACACCAGCCGCACACACTCAATACACTTGGCCGACACGCTGGAGCAACACTTCACGCATTTCTTATTAGCTGCACTTCAAAAACTGTACAAAGTTGCGCTCCAAACTTATTATGGGACTCGGTCGGACCCAAAAAGAAATGGAAGAAAACGGAAAAGGAAAAGGAAAGGGATGGGAATGGGAATGGGAATGGGATACAGTAAGCCAACTTTAACTAATGGCAACATTTTTGTTTGCTGATGTCGAGTGTTATTGAGGCAAAGCAAAAGAGCAAACTTTCATTTGGCTCCAGCTGACATAAGTTTAAATGGGGTTATTGGGCGAACAAGGAAAAGCAACTACAACAACAGCATCCAAAGCAGCAGATGGATAAATGAAAAATGTCAAAGTCCAAAGGCATGGCAACAGTTCGTAGTATATGGCTAGCAAATATTTGTGCATTGGGCACATGAAATCCAAATTCATCGTTGGGATATATTCAACATAAGGAAAGCTTGTGCCGAGTATCCAATTAGTCACAATCTAAATTATTGAGTGCAATTTGCACAGATTCAAAAATATTCCCTATAAAATTTGAAATGCGTTTTAAATATGATTTGTTTTCATTCTCTAATTTACTTAAATACATTAAATAAACTAAACTAAAATACCAAATCTTATAAACTTTATCTTAATGATCGACTAGATAATACTGTGCACTCAAACATAAATTCACTCTCCTTATATCCGATTAAAAATGTGCATATAAGTATTTAAGTAGACATGAAAGTCTATATTCATTTGTACAACAAATATTAAAACTTTAATAGAATACTGGTAAATATGGAGAAAAAAAATACACATATTTTCCAATTGTTTTCTCGCAACCTATTTGCCCTCAGCTTCCATGCAACAGTAAATAACATTTTCAAATAGCATGAGACAAAATGAAATTAAACAACAGAAAGCAAAGCTGAACACGAGAAAACCATGTTTTATGTAAATTAAAATTGACGTTTAGCCAATAATGTATTAGGCACTTTGTTTGGATTTAAATATTACATTTATGAGACTGCCAATCGGTTATTGGATGGCGTACAAATGAAATGAAAAACTACCATTCACTGACTTTCAACGGGTGAAAACTAACTAAAATAACCATTGGTTGCCTTTCATTTTAAAATTTAGTTCATTGAAGTTTTTTGCTTATACTTTTGGGCTGGTGAAAAAAATAAGCTTGGAAAAATAGACTAGTTATATGCTGCTCCAACAAGTATGCTATTTAACTATGGTGTATGTGTATAAAAAATATAAATAACAAATGTAGCACATATTCTAACGTTTGAGTTTCAGTTGCATATTGCTGATAATATGTTTAGAAACGTGGAGCTTTATTTTGATTTTCTGTGAAATTTTGGAATATAAAAAATATAAATAAGGATGCAAGCATCCATCCAATTCTAATGCATTCAAATTAGATTTTACACCAAATTGTAATGCTATATTTTATTTTTATAACTTAATTCGAATATCTATAAAAAGTAAAGTTGGCTTAGCAATTGTGTAGATATAACGATTCCTAAGCATTGTGCACAATTCTTGAAAGCGAACAGTAATCTTTTGAACATAAATTTACCTAGACCTTGACTCATTTTTTACGTGGCAAGTGGCCGCACACACAATCCCTGTGGAAGTTTGTCAAATGGCATCGGGTGTGGCATCGCCTACGCATCGTCCATTCAGAAAACGATTTATGTGCTGCCAATAAATTTACTCAACACTTTGGCTCAACTAATACAATATTTACATCAAATTGTTGTAATACATGTGAAAGTGGAGGGGCTAGCTGCGTGGAGCGTTCAAAATAAAAAATTACAATGCGTATTTACTTTCTTCTTTTAGCTGAGCTTTGCCCGGGATCTTAAACAGGCAGGAAGTGTACTAAGGGTTCCAGCAGCCAGCGGCCCCTCCTAGGACTGTCATTTAAGTTAAAAGCGCATTTGTAAGTGCGCTCTGACTGTGCGGAGTGAAGTATGTAAGTATGTGTGCATGAATGGGATGCTCTGGACCAGTCACTGTTGCTGGGAATTGAGGATTGGTAGGTTGAGGCTTTTGCTGTTGCTGATGGTGTGGCTTGGGCATGGGGCTGGGTGGCTGGATGGCTGGATGGCTGGGACTAGGGGGCTGGGGCTGATGATAAAGCTGGTGCTGGGGTCTGACTACATAGCAAGTTGGCTCTGGCCTCGGAGCCAATTTCAATCCCAGCGCGCTTTTTAAAAGCAAATCTGGCAAGCTGCGCACTTTTTGCTCATTTTGTGTCTGTTGTGCAATGTTTTAGAATTTTTCTTGACCCCCCGGCACTTTATGACGGCGTTAAGTGTTAAACGCTGGCCGTTATACCCAAATCAGTTTCTGGCAGTCAAAAGTGATGACATTTAAAGTTAGTCCGCAATTTTAAGAGGTGGCGAAATTATATTCACTGCTTACTATATAAATTAGACTTAGTTAACAATAAAAGCTTGTGAGGATATGTCCTAAAAAATAATGGGAAATTAATTTTGTTGCATTTTATTTGTTTTATGTCCCATTAAAATTTTGATTTTCGAACTCGGCGGCAACTTAGAGAGCAGCTGATCTGCGTTTTTCTGATTGACAAACAATTGGCAGGACTTATTGGTGCAGGTGGCAACGCCCATTGTAATCGAAGTGCAATCGAAGTGCAATCGCAGTGCAATCGCAGCCAACTTCACTGGCCTTCGATCACTTTTCTGCAACTAAGCGTCCCAGATGCTCATGCGAAAAAATTTCCAATCAATGAGCATCACGAAATTGTGTGGAAATTAAATAATTATTAAAGAAAGGCTTATCGCCAGCTTCGTCTGTGAAGCCTACCATATTATTGACCATATTTTTGAAATATATATTTATAAAAATGGTATATATAACGTACTAACACGAGACCAACTATTTTTTGGCCAACTGATTTGAGAATAATTTTGTCGAAAATATAGACAATATAGCCACAACTGTGGCACTCAACGGGCCACTGACACACTGTCTGCCACCAGCGCCACAAGCGCAACTTGTCGTTTCCGTTCATGCAACAAAAGCCAACTGCAGAGCCAACAACTGTTAACTAACAGATTTATGTTTGCGTGTGTGCTTTTTTGTCTATCGATAATATATACTATATAATCTATATATCCAACATATATATATATATATATATATATATATATATATATATATATATAGATATTTATATTATGTTACTTAATTGGTTCTTAATATTGTTGTATTTATGTTATATGTATGTGCCATATCTGCCTGTTTGATTTGTGTGAAATTTTTTTGCTACTCAATCAACAACGTGCCAAAGTAAGAGTTAAATAATTTATGAACCAACCGCAAGATTACCGTTTTACCTCATAAAGAAATTATGTGTTCTGAGAACTTCAATTGGAATTCTGCTGTCAGAAAAAAGACGTGAACACATTAAGAATCTCTTTGATTTAACAAATTTTTCAAGTTTTTATTGAAGTTATGTAAACAAAATAAAAACATTATAGATGAAAAACATTATATACTAGCGTAAATAAGAATGTTGCTCTGACTCCTAAGCAGTCAGTCTAAAAAAAAATATCTTTATCAATATAACATGTACATACGTCGGCGACAACGCTACTAAAATAGCATTGGTTGCGGGCTGCACGAAAGCGGAACGGTTCTGTTGACGGTATTCTAGAAGAAGCTGTCAAACATCAAACATCGTTCAGTGGCGCAGTTTTGGTAATTAAACATTGGAGCGTTTCTAAATAGCATAGCAGCTCAGAGCTCAGTATGCAGTTAAGTCGTGTGAGATTTCTCAAGATATTGGTCTTGATCATCTCCATAAATATCTTCATACTACTCGCATTCTTCAGTTACAACAATTCTGAGCACAGTCATCGATCTAAACGAGTCGTTTTTATCGATGAACTGCTGGTTGACAAAAGAGAGGGTAAGAAACTAATTACCAATTGTCACTATTTTATTATTAACCTGAATATTATTGTTTTAGAACCCAGCTGGCCGCAGAAATTGAAATTTATCCGAGAGGAGATGCCCTCGTTCCCGCTGGAGGAACTGCTGCGAAGACCCGCCACTAAGTCCACCTGTGGAAAAGTTCCAAATTCTTTGGGCATTGATTTCAGCAACGATTATTGGCAAACGGTTCACATAGAGAACCTGACATATCATCTCTTTGGTGCGTACTATGACAACAGGGAGAAAATTATAGATGCGCCACTTGTCCGAGTGCTAACCATGATCAATCATTATGGGAATCGGTACACGGTCAAGTTTCCTCAGTCCTATTGTCAATTGTGGTTCAGGAATCGCGTCGATCCAGTAATTGCTAATGTAAGTGATCATAAGATTATTTGGGTTTGGGGCGGTGACCCGACAGGCAAAGTCTTCCCGACGCTTATCAGCTGCCGTGTGCCCAACGTGGAAAAGGAGGCACCCGAAATGGTGTCCATAGTAGCACAGCGTTGTGACAATGCGAGAAATCTGCTGCGGGTCGTTTATGAACCTGCTGTCAACACGGTCGCCATGCCCCAACAGAAGGATCAGCCGATGAACGATCAAGATAATTCAGAAAAGCCGCTGCGCTTAATGATTTGCGTAAAGGCTTTGGACTTCCTATACAAGGATATATCTTGGCGTCTGATTGAATGGCTTGAACTAATGCGGCTGATGGGTGTCAGCAAGGTGGTCTTCTACGATGCCCAAATGCATCCAAATATGACGCGTGTGCTAAACGATTATATAACCAGCAGTCCGGGCTTTGTCGAGCTGCGCCCTCTGTCGATGGGCCGTGGAGAACCGCACACGGGACGTCATTTTCATCACTACGCGATGGATGCGGACTACTTCAATCGCATACTCAATGAGATGATACCATACAACGACTGCTTCTACCGCAACATGTACAAGTTCGACTATATAGGCGTCTTTGATACCGATGAAGTCATCATGCCTCTGGGCAATATCACCAAATTGTCGGATCTGATCAAACTGGCGCACAAGGTGCCCAACTATGGACAAGATGCGAGCGACTGCAGTGCATGGGCTGGCTTCTGCTTCCGCAACGTCTACTTTCCCCTTTATCCGAAGCGGCCAAAGGTCTACAAGAATCTGCCCAGCTTTTATTATATGCTGCAGCATGTGGAACGTGTGAAGGAATACTGTGATCCCCTTTCGGCCACAAAATGTTTTCACTCCACGCAATTTGTGATTGGTCTACATAATCACTTTCCAATCTATATTGCATATAATGGTGAATGCGACCCGAAATCTGTGCCCATTGAGTTTGGCCAGCTGCAGCATTATCGTGAGCCGGACAATAAGACGCACCTCCTCAATCCCGTTGTGGATGACAGTATCTGGCGTTACCAGCCGCTGTTGCAGCAGCGTGTCTATGCCAAATATGAGAAGCTCGGCTTTTTGCCCGACATTCAACAAGTGATCGATGCCAAGCATCAACGCCGTAAAGACGATGAGCAACACCTACACGAAGCTATCTTTAAGATATAGATAATATTACATATTATATCATCTACATATATTTACTCTAGTAATACTCTAGACAAAGTAATAAATTTTTTAAAATTAATAAAGGGGAAACGTGGCAGTCAGACGTAAGCAACTGCGAAATACTCTGGTGCCAATAATTAAGACCAACTGATAACAGGTACGGGTGGGTGAAATACCGAACTTTTAATGGAAGTTCCTAGTAATCAATTCTCCGAACCTGACTAGAAAATTGCGGGAGATATAGGCTTTTGAGTTTTTGGGGCGGCCGAAAATAATGTTTGAGGAGTTTCCTAGTAATCTAATTTCCAAGTTTGTTAGCTTTAGCCATAAAGCTGCGGAAGATATAAGCTATTGAGAATTTTAGAGGCGGACGAATCTACCTTTCAAGTTTGATAAATGTAGCACTTAAATAGCGGTGGCCAATGCCGATCTTTGAAGGACATCGCCAACAACCTGCCAATCAAATTTAGTGACTGTAGCTTTAAAAGTCTTAAAGATATGTGGCTTTATCGATTTGTGATGATCGATTTTATCGATTTCCTAGCGTTCCAGTGGATCCCAATTTTGACACCTTGTTCCAAGTTTCAAGTTTCTCTCTCTCTAAGGGTGCCGAAGAAAAATTACAATTATATTAGACCCACACACTCATTGGATATGTGGATATGAAAAGTTTAATTTATAAATAATCAATGGCAATCCGAAATAAGTACGTGAATTGCAATTTTTGTTTTTGTGAGTCGTAAATTGTAATATGCTGCTTAAATAGGATTTCAATAACTTGTTCATTCATAATTCGAAGATTTAAGATTTAAAGAAGGTCGTTTGCAGAAATTCGTAACGAAACGAAAGATATGGCAGAAGATCAAAAATAATGAAAGACACCCGAATACACTCGGTGTTTGGGTATTTATTTACTCATAAAGAAAGATCAACTTTGTTTTTGGCATTTTTACTATATTTTCCAAACTGCAGTTAGCTTTAAGTGTATAACGGCACCTCTCAATTGGGCTTAAACTCAGAAATCAATACACTTTTTTTTTTACCGGTTCATATGTATTACCGACATAGATAATAGGAATCGTTATCTCACCTACAAATTTGTTGCTCTAGTGATTGAAGTCATGTATTTTTGAAATTCTTTTTTGAGTGAATTGGTTTTGTTTCTACCACTTTTAGTGTTTCGGACTTATCAAAACCGTACACATAATTAAACTTGTACTGTACTCAATCTGATAGCCGACAATTTATAAGAGCAAAATTATCTCAGTTAACATATATACGCGAAACTGTTGGCTTAAAACTGGGACTGGGACTGGGACTGGGACTGGGACTGGGACTGGAGTACTGTCAGCTAGCAGTATTGGGCCTAATTTATATAAGAATGACAAACAACCGCCAAAAATATTACTTTGCTGGAATTGTCGGGAAGTTATGCATTGAGTTTTTCACCCAAGACGCCGACTTTCACAATGTGACGCGCCTGTGGGGTATGCAACAGACACCACAAACCAAATTAAATACTAAACGAAGCCAGTCCAGCTCCTTTTTTTTATATGTGTGTGTGTGTGTGTGTGTGTGTGGAAATAGGCGCCTGAGCGCAAATGAATTATGTTGTGCAGTCGATGTTTTGTCATCTCCATGTGCTGCACACAGTGGACTCATATTGTACAGCTAAGCTTCAAAATGTTTTGGTAAACTAAACGCTTACTAACTGTATTGTTCGCTTACTATGAAAATACATTTTATTTTCAATAAGTGAATAAATTATCCTATCCAGTTTTCACATTCTACCAGTTAAACAGAAAGCCTTCCTTGATCAGTTTGACTATTTTGCTAGAGTTCGACGGAAAAAGTTGATTAATTTAAAGTCAAAAGTTGATTAATTTTATTATTTAATTTAAAAATTTAAAGCCAAAAGTGAGTTTCTATTAGTTTACTCCTTTTTATCAACAAAATCTATTTTTGAAATTATTGTTAGAACATTCTCGATGGTGCTCACTGTACAACTGTACAACTCGTCGATGTGTTGTGCTGCTTGCAGTCTGGCATCCTTGGCTATTGCTGCTTGTTGCATCGTTTTTTGGTTCATGTGTGGCAACCTTTCGCTTAAGCAAATTGCCAGGGTATGTGTTATACCCTGAATCTATTTAAAACTATTAAAATGGGTATAATGATGCTATGCGAAAGTATGTACCAGGCCTCCATAAAGTATATATTTCCTTGATAAATGGCGCCTGTCCGTCTGTATGAACACGCGTATCTCAGAGAATTACAAAAACTGGAAAATAATATTATATGTATACGTAGATCAAGTTACTTAACATTAACTTGTTATTAAATAAATGTGAAGGATATTCAAGATCGTATAAGAGACACGTTCTTAATTAACCAAACGTGAACAAACTAATATCTTATATAAATACCAGTGCTGCCGTAGTTTTTTTTTACCTTTCAGTAACTGTGCCGGCCATGAAAAAGGAGAGGGATCGCATAGCTTAATCGATTTAATATAATAAACACTTTCGATTCAGGGTATATCCTTGTCGACCCCTTCCAACTAGAGTATTCTTTCTTGTTTTTGTGTGGCTTGATGAGTCTGCTTTTTGTGGCTGTGCGCCAGTACCTTGTACTTGCATCCAGTAAAGGACACTAAGTTATTGTGCTCGTGTAGTAGAAGCAGCGACAGCAGCAGCTATCCCCAAAATGGCAACGTGCAACGCTGAGTTGCTACCCACCAGCCCCCTTCATTTACCTCTGCGTATGTGTGTGAGTTGCATTTCACTTAAAATGCTTTTAACCAAAACATTAAGCAGCTGGTGTCACATTATATCACAATGCAGAACAGCTTTCGTTGTAACAGGCCACAACAACTGCAACAGTCATGAGAGCGGGCTAATTTATGGCCTAAATAAGCTTCGAAGCTGGCAAAAAATTCGAAAACAGGTAAATCGCGAGAATTTCTTTATCAAATGCATATAAGTTCACTTGAAACTTTAATTTCAAGAAAATATGTATAACCGTAACGCATAATCCAATTATCTTTAAAGTTTACTCAAAAGATGCTTCGTGGTTTCAGAATTGGACCGGTTTGAAGTTAATTGCATAGAAATGAAGCTTGAATTCAACGTTGTTTCGCATTTGGATTTAAATTATTAAAGTGAATGTTAGTCTTTGAATTTCCTGAGTAATTTGTAATACAATCGCTTTATTCAGTGCTCATCAAATTTTATTCACATCGACAAATCAGGCTTAAGAGAAGTGGTTGACTAATATTTATCAATTGCCTAATATATAATCAACGGAATATTATTCAATACCATGCAGAAGTGGATAGTAAATTTACAAAATTTACCTCATTGCTATTTCTGGCTTGTGTGGTGTTCGTATGCTTGCATTTGTCTTGGGAAAACCAAAATTGAAAATATATTTTATGGTGAAATGTTAAAGGTCATTCGAAAAAGTTTTAGCCAGCTTATTAGCTGAAGTGCTGGCATAACCCAATCAGTCTAGGTCCGTTCAGGTTGTGTCGGATTAGGTCACTTACAACGTGACTTCAAAACAAGCGTCACATATAAACATCAATGCCATGACACCGATAAAAACACATTCAGCAATGGAGTGTCAGCAACCAAGCTGCCCCTGCTCCTGTAGCCTTTCAATTAACTGCTCGTTTAGTTAAATTAAATTTTGCATAGCAAACTAATCGGAAAATTAATTAATTAATTCTATTAGAGTATGCATTTGCCTTTAAATAATTGATGTATTGAATTGCTCAAAGATGCACTTAAAGCTGACGCTTTAATAGAAATAATCTGTGGACATTCATAAATATTATCCAAGCCACTTTCGTCATTTTCACCAGACCATAACCGCAAACACGTATAATAGCTGACGTTTCTCTAACTTCGACTGATGGAAATCTCATAAAAATCAGGTAATCTCGTGTTAATTGAAAAGGCTCTCAGAAAACCTGGGAAACAATTCAAAAAAATTAATATATAATAGGGACTTGCTTAGCATCCCTCATTTATTGACATTATTATTATTTATAAGAAAGTTTTTATTGGAAATAATTGTATGTATATAAAACTGCCAGCACAATAGAATAAATCAAACTTTAAAAATTTAAATAGTTTAATTGAAATGATTGTGAATTATCTACAAACATCTAGCTACTTTTAAAATAAAACACTCCACAATATTAAGTATTGACCCCAAATTACAAACTGAGCTTACAGCAGTAATTAAACAGCAGACCTTGACTGGAGCTCTGGTTGGCATCAACTTGAGCTCCACTCTCAGCGACAGAGTATGTGGTAAGGTAGGATTAAGTGCGGCACAAGCAGTCTGTTGTTCTGGTTGTCCAACTGCAGCTGAATCGTCAGCATGATTAATTGATGAAAATCCCTTTTGCCATGCAGGATAATAAATTACAATACACAGGCCAGCACATACATACATAAGGCAGGCGAGCAAGCCAGAGGACGGGGCTAGACGAGAGAGCGAAAGCACGGACAGGTGGCATGTGCTCCAAATAGCTAACGGAGAGACAACCCACACCCGCCAACACCGACACACACTCGCATTCACTCGCAGATGAGGTCGGGTGTGTATGTGTGTGTGTGTGTGTGTGGTATTTGAGCATTGAATTAAACTACAGCCAGGACGAGAATGTCGACAGGTTCCGGAGTAGAAGAGGCACGACGACACGTTGGCTGTTTCCTAAATTAGCTTAATTTCATTTAAAAGCATCTCGTGTTGTTGCAACAGCGATGGCCACCCTCCGGACAACACTCCAACTATATCTGGGACACCCTTATAATTATTATTATGTTCATCTTTTTCTTTTTGTGTTTATAATTCATTAGCTTGCTAAATATATTTGTAATCTTAATTGGTTGCTAAAGCACACGACAACTAAGCTCATAAAGCAGTCGAGCAGACAATCAACACAACGGTGCCCTCGATGCTGCCACCCACAAGCACAGCAGCATTCAATTCCATGCAGACATATACAATTCTTTAATTTAATCATCAGGGGTGCATTTGCAGATACCTTGATTTTTGAATTTTGTGTGGCTGCATTATTTTCATTCGCTCCTAAAAGTATGCTATGCGTTTACTCTGCGCCATTAACTAGAGCAACTCAATTGCAAAGAGCGAGAGTGCGTCTAAAGGCAGTGCGGATATTAATGTGCACAAAAAACGTAACGAAAAGCACTTAATATATGTATGTCTGAAAAAATTGCAGGATATTTTATGGTTTTTTGGTATTCCTTTTTATAATTAACATATGCAAATAGAAAGGGGGTCCGAGATGCTTCCTTCCGCCCCATTTCCATAATTCCATTATACCATTTTTACCCATTATTAATGGCCCAATCTAAGTATCTTTATACAACTTTGGGATAAATCATTTCTGACTTTGTGAGCAGATCATGATCAATTATCTCCATGAAGTGGAGTTCAGCGTGGTACAAAGATGTCCCCTCTAAATCTGCTGGTGCTATTCACTCTGATTGTGATAGTTAATATAGAAGAACAGCCAAAATGCATACAATTTACTATTCCTCTAAGTATAAAGTGAGCTCACGAGCTCGAATAATGGAGGAAGACTAGGCTATTCGATTTTATACTCTGAACCCATTGAGAATAGCTGTGTGCAAATGTATGTAACAGGCAGAAGGAAGCATCTCCGACCCCATAAAGTAAATATATACAGCCTTGACCCGGATCATCAGCCGAGTCGATAGAGCCATGTGCGTCTGTCCGTCCGTCCGTCTATAGCTAATGACTTCAAATTTGGAATATAAGTTCACGTATTCCATAGGCAGAACAAGTTTGCTTCGCTTTATGCGTTTCTCGAATATTTATAATATAATAATAATTTAAAAAAAGAAATTGGTTTCTAACTGATAATTTAAATACATTGATATATTCTTGATCAACTGGACAAATTTCATTAAGATCGAAACACCCAAATTATAGTCGAAATATATTCTCATATTGATCTCATTACTCTCTCTCTCTCTCTCTCTCTCTCTCTCTCTCTCTCTCTGTGAATAAAAGCATGCACTGCCTTAGTTTATTGACTACTTTGAGTTTGACTACTTTCAGTAGCTGTGTCGGCTTTGGGAAATGATAGCAAATTCACACAACTTGTAAAGTGATAAAGTGAACAGTATTAGGATACTCACTCCACTCCCACTCCGATATGAACCTTTATAGTTAGTTGTTCGATAGTGTGCTTCGATAACTTGATAACTTGTACTTTGATCACAGAGCATTGTGCATATTTGCGGCACCTCGTTTCCCGCTTCCCAGTTTGCGGGGTTCTATTTTCACCCATATGGGGAAATAGAGCGATAAACGCTTATCGCAGTTATTACGTAGCTAGCAACCGCTTGGACTGTTCTTGCTGAACTTTGAACGTTTGAAAACGCTCGTTGCTCAATCGTGCATAACCGGTTTCGAAGCATGAACTTGAGGTTTTGCTTTAGAAGAGTATAAATTAAGATCGCAGTTGAGACATTGCTAAAGCGACATACATATACACACATTTGAGCGTAATCCGTTAACTCAATAAATAATCACTTGAAGTTCGTTTAATTGATTCAAGCACGGATTTCAGCACTGAACTTATCAACTTGATTAGGCTGCATTAGGTTGATTAGGCACTTTTTGAGTAGTTAGTACGATCAATGATGAAAGGTCTGTCTTCCTTATTAATGTGCAATAAAATCTAAAGCAACTAACTACAAAATAGACTGCCTAGTATTTATTGATTATATTTTATTACTCACACATGTCAGGTCATTGTTAGTTTAGAGGAAATGAAATGGGAAGATTATGAAACACTATAATTTTGTTGTATATCGACAAATAATTGCAAAGAGCTTAAGGTCGTATTTAATTCGCTCACTGTGAGTCCATAAGAATATATATGCGCGTATAATAAACGTCCACTTACCCCGTACAATTAAGTTAAGTAACCTACTCTTTCTGACTATAATATAAAATAAGTGTAATGTCATCTAACTCTATGAACCTATAAAACATCGTCTGACATACTAGTCGACATATAGCGTAATGCTTTGTTTATGTGGACATATAATTTTTCCTCTGCCTCACTCTCTTTATATTCATACTCTGATACCGAAGGTATCATGGTATATTGGTTTTATACAATGTCCGTCATGCTGTCTGTCCGTCTGTTAGAACTGTAACTTTTTTCGACAATCTTAGAGATAGAGACATGAAACTTGGAACATATACTGGCCTGTGCCTCAGACAAAGCGTATAAATTGGAGTGCTACGTTCACTAGGAGGCTAGGAAATCGATAAAATCGATAATCGCAAATCGATAAGACCACTTATCTCACTCAATTTTAAGGCTACAGTCACTAAATTTGGTTGGTAGGTTGTTGACGATGCCATTCAAAGATTGGCATTAGAACCGTAAAATTTTGTAGGTATATTACTAGTATTTATCGATAAATCCGATAGACCTATTAATATTAATCCATAAAACCATATAACTCCTTTAATTTGAAAGCTAGAGTCAACTAACTGGAGAGTTATATTGCTAGTATCACCTTTCAAAAATACGGAAAACAAATTTTGGACCGCGCTCACTCCCGCTCCCAGAAACGATAAAAGCATATATCTGCCGCAACTTAAGAGCTACAGTTACCAAACTTGGAAGGAGAATTACTAGCAACCTTCTCAATAATATTTTTAGCCACGCCCAATCCAGTACAAAATTCTCTAAAGCACATTTCTCCCGTAATTTAAGAGCTACAGTTACCAAGATTGGAAAGGAAATTACTGGGAAGCTCCTCCAACATTCGTTTTCAGCCATGCCCACTCCCGCCCACAAATTTCACTGAAGCCTATATCTACCGCAATTTAAAAGGCAAACTTTGAAGAAAAATGACCAGGAACCTCCTTCAAAGGTCGGTATTTCTTGGCCTGTTACCAGATGGTATAACTTATTGGTATCATGGTATTTCACAGTCGGTTACGCCCGACTGCAATGATCTCTCGTGATATTTTTGCTTATGCACATATAGCTTGAAGGTTTTCTTCTAAAACCGCTGCGAGAAGCATAAAATAATTATGAAATATAATATATCATATAAACAGCTTTTAAGGCAATTTCAGCAATCATTGCAATGAACTGCAGTACTGGACATCAACAACATTAGCGTGAAATCAGCTCAAATGAGCTCGACTTGAAAACTAAATGAAAATTCCGCAAACGCTGCAATCATGGGCGTACACAGGGGTGGATTCAAGCAATGGAGGGGGGGCCTCTATATACATATATGCGTATGGTCGGTGGATTGAAATTGATGAAAAAATATGAGTCGGTCGCCCATTTACGGAATTCGGGGCCCCCCTTTACGAAAAGCTGGGTACGCCCTTGTCTGCAATCAAACCCTCGAGGTCGCCAATGACGATTTCTGTAGCTAACATATATGCGGATGCCGTTGGTGTTGTTTTCTGTTTTCGGTTTTTGGTTTTTCGTGATTATTGTTTTTGCCTTGTAGTTTCTGTGGCTATCAGTTGGATTTAGATCATTGCGTCGGTGACTCCGTCGCTGTTACTAAACGGACGGACAAACATATCGATAATGCAATAAGCGTATAAATAAACATTTAAGGCAACACCCAGATAAGATAAGCGGCCGACTTCTGGAAAACATAAGTAGATCGCGTCGAGTAGGCGTAGGTTGCTTACATATTTACATAAGTGCAATTGTAATTGCATATACTTGTTAATGCTTCAGACTTGGCAATTTTTCCGTATATAATTCACGAAAAACTGTGGCCTTTGACCCACCATGTCGAATGTTGCAAAACCGAACGTAAATGATGTCACAATGTCACAATGAGCCAACGCGCTTGTTGCCTCAGGTGCTATCGTTGGTTATCATATCTTTTGTACATTTCTGATATGCCATAAATGATAAATACCTTTTTGATAAAAGCGAAAGTCGACATATTTTGTATAATGTATTTGAAACATACCAATAGGCTATTAATTTTATTATCAATCGATTTGAACACTTTGTTTCTCTGATGCAGCCGGTCAATTCTGCCACAACTAATTGATTTAGTTTAAGTGCTGCATGTGCATTATTCACGGTTGCTGCTTAGGATACAATCGAACCCAAAATTTCTACATTATATTATTTATGTTTCCTTATTGAATTTGTGTTGTTAATTTCGATTTCACAAAAACAACAATGTAATCAAATGGCAGCTATTGCTTCTGCATATGTGCAAATTTAGGTAACATAACCCAACTAAAATAACTTAACTTTATTCGGACACATGCTTTTTTTTTTTAATACATTACACACACATTTTCAAATTATGGTAATTTATCCATTGAAGCTTAAAATTCCTAATCCAAATATGTGATATTCCATTGGCATATTGCATATAAAACTGTGACATGCACACATCAAACATAAAGGTAACAATTTCAAATTTTTATATTTACAACTAAAATTTAACTGATAAAGAGCGGTTATGGTCGTCGGTATTCGGCCTGATATCAGGGCCAATCGGCAATTCTAGTGCCATTTTAAACACTGTGTGCCACTGTGCACAAAGTCGCGTCGCACTTGCTGGCGATTTTGAACGACAAACGCTCTCATTCACTCGCAGCAACGCGCACAGTACAGAGGCACGGAGGCCGCCACAACAACCAAGCACACACTAGGCTTCTTAGTAACTGATCGCATACTCAAGTCGACTGACTCTTTGCAGAAGAGGCCACTATGAACAAATACGCTTTGCTGGTCGTGTGCCTATTGGCCATTCTCGGCGCCATCCTCTTGGAGGTGCGAGCCAGCCCCAGTCCACAAAAATTGAGCGCCAGTCAGCTGGACAGTGTCTCTGCACAGTTCCTGCCTCCAGAATTTCGCAATACGAACGTAAGCATGGGTAAGTTAACAGTGACATAATCACACCTGTACCATATACATACATATATAATAATTATCGTATCGTTTCTGTTTTTTCATTTTTTTTTCATAGATGATATTAAGCGTGTGTATCGCGAGAAATGCAAGAAGGTGGTGGGCGTGGATAACACAACGCTGTATCAGAATATTGAGAATGCCGCTACCAAGCTGGGTTCCTGTCTCAGCGGCCTGGCCAATCTGACCGAATTGCAGGCTGAAATGGATGCAGCTCGGCCCATCGGTGATCTGGACACAGTGTTCAACAAGTACTGTAAGCGTGCACCGGAAGCGGAAGACTGCGTGCGTGCCTTTAATGAGAAAGTGAGACCTTGCCTGACTACCGAGGAGCTGCGTCAGCAGGCAACAATGATGCGACTTGGTGCCTCACTGTTGGCATTCGCTTGCTCCCGCGGCGGTGATCAGATCGCACTCTTTGTGGCCGAACAGGGGCCCGAGTGCCTCGAGGCAAACAAGGAGAGCATAAGCAACTGCTTCAACAGATCATTCAATCAGTATTTGCCAAAGGATGGTCAAGTGCCCGATCTGATGAGCCGGCCCGAGCTGCTTTTCACGCCGACACACTGCGTCGACCTTCAGAGCTTCGAGGGCTGTGTCCTCCACCATCTGGAGCAGTGTGCCGAGATCACGCCCGCCAACGTTGTCGAGACCATCTTCCGCTTTGTGAAGAACGAGACCGACTGCAAGGCATGGATGGATGCGCGTGCCAATGAGCGTCCCATACTCTTGGCCAGTGTCAACAACACACGGGACGGCGCCGGCACGCTGGTTACCACACTTGGTGGCACCTTGACCCTCACTCTGGCCGCCTACATGCTGCGTAACTAAGCGTATCATACTCATAAATGCCTTAGCTTCGATAAAATGTTTATAGTATTTCTTACTGATTATTGATTAAATTTTTTTTTTTTGTGTTTTTTTTTTTTGTTAGTTTCGGTTTGCGAGAATGAAAGTAGTGGCAACGTTTTCATGTATTGTTAAAGTATTTGTATTCATGTGTATGTTGTTGCCTTATTTTTTTTTATACTTATGTGCGGTGAGTTGTAATTTAATGACTACTTTATTTATAGTTTACAATAAAAACATTACAAAATCTTTCAATTAGACACGTGGTTAAAATCTAAAATATCTCTCTGGACTGTGATGGGCTTGATATGTAAGACACACATGCACACATTTTTAACACACATCGATTGATAGCTAAATCATCAGATAAAAATATTAACTGTTGTATACAGTATGCTTGCCGATTCATGTCTTCAATCAGACACGCAACGCATTAGTGAACACTTTTATTCTTGAGTTCACTTTTTGTTTTTCGGTGATTTTCGGCATATTGAAAGGTCAATCAAATCGCTGTGACACACAAACAAATTGTGTCGAATGATGAATCAGTTGGTTTAAAAATGGAATCGCAATTCAAAGTACAGGAGATAAGGCACTATTGATAACACCTTACCGCTGAGTCATGATATCGATAAATCGTTGCATACTTTTGCGCGGCGTGTTAAAACTCATTTTGGAACTGCTTGGAAATATTAAATACAATTAACGATTGTTTGTTGTTCGGCTAGAACATGTATGTAAATATAATAACTGAGTATGAATTGAATGGCACTTTAAATGCAAAACAAACTTTTAGATTTTTTTTTTTAGTATTCTCATTGACCCAAACAATAAGTCAAAGAGTGTAGACCAGTCGGAGTCTCTGCCAAATGCCCAATGAAAACGGCAATCAGAATATCTCTAATAATGTTTATCATTGTGGACGCTATCAGCTTATTGATACCTTTAATTGAATTAATTGCACAAAGTTAATTCAGGTTCGATATATTGTTTAATATTAATATACATTGAGGCTATAAGAAAACATAACAATTGGTTTTGCTCATACGCTTGCTTAATTTAAGTTTAAAGCTGCTGCTGCAAACAATTATTATAACTATATAACCAACAATAGTCAAGGTAGTCATGGACAGTCATAATAATATTGAATTCCTATTGAATGAATGCTTAAAGTGGTGACTTCTCCTGACTAATTTATTATACACTGATACCGAAAGTAATACCTTCCAAATTTGTGCGCATTAACTCATAACTCAGCAGGAGTGTCGTCATATTTGATTCCGCTTCTACTATGCCTTTCAAATTTGGTGACTGTAGCTTGCAAACTGTATTTTCAAATCAATCTTAATTACGTTAAATTTTTCGTGAAAAAATATACCAAGCACGCTATACAAAGATATAAAGACATATCTATTTGTAATATATTTCCATAAATTACTTATTGAACTTAACTTAATAGTTAACTTAAGCACAAAGCCTTAGTAAGTAAACTGCCGTCTTATATATAACTATAGCAAAAAAAAAAAATATATTCTTAGTTCTACATAATCCTAATCCTAATTGTTGACTTTTGCAGACTGCACCTGTTCCAGCACTTGCTGCTGCTCCTGCGTCTGCTCTAGATCCGTTTCCTGCTCCTCTAACGACACCTGCTCCGCTAACGATACTTGCTCCTGCACATCATCCAGATGGCTCACGACGTGCTCGACAGCCGCACGCAGTTCAATGGCATACTTCCAAGCGCTGCGATCATCAACCAACTCTGCAAGCTCATACTTCTTGTCTGGCTCCCGATAGTGCTGCATTTGGGCCAGTTTCGTGTCGAACGTTCTCGGGTTGCAGCCACCCGGCAGCCACTTGAGCGTATAGTGATTGTGCAGCACCAGTGAGTAGCGTGTGTTGTGGAAGCACTTGGTTGCACGATTGGGCAGCGAGTAGTTACGGTGCCGCATCGTGTGCTGCAGCACGAAGAGCTCATCGGCCTCTTGCTGCTCGTGATTTTGGGCCTCAGGCACCACCTTGGTGAAGTACGTGTTGATAAAGCACAGAGCCACATGACCATTGGGGCACTTGGCTATCGTATTTGGGCGATCCGCTTCGAGTACATCATGCCAGGTGCGCAGCGTGCCCAGCGGCATAATCACCTCATCGATGTCCACATTGAGAAGATAGTCGTGACGATGCATATTCCTATAGAAGCAATCGTTGTAGGGTATCAGCTCATTGAGCCGCTTGATCATTCGCCGTTTCTGTAGCAGCAAATGCTGATAATGCCTCAAACGTGGCATCCCATTGGCCATCGTCAGCGGACGTAGCTCCAGGAAGTCAATGCGCTGATAATAGTCCAGCACACGTTGCACTGCAGGATGAACATCGTACATGTACGCATAGATGCGGGAGGCACCCAACAAACGTTGCAGCTCGAACCACTCGATGAGGCGTTCCGATAGATCGATGAACGGAAAATCAAATCCCTTGATGCAAACGCCAAAGCTGAGCGTGGAACTAGAATTACGGCTGTGAAACGTATTCGAACTGGGACTGAAGGTGGCATTCGCGAACAGTGGAAGCCCTGTTGGTGCTGATGTTGGTATTGGTATTGGTGGGCGATCGTAGTGGACACGCAGCGAGTTGCTGGCAGACTCACAGCTCTCTTTCACGAGCGAGACGGTGCGTGGCGTCGATTCCTTAAGGTTGGCTGGCAAGTTGGGAACCGGACAGCTGATCAGATGCGGATAGCTGAGCTGTGCCGGATGGCCCCAGGCCGCTGGCCACACGCTCAACCACTCGCTGACCTGTGTTATAACAGGCTCCTTATGCTCGGCATACCACAGCTGGCAGTAGGTTGGCGGGAATTCGTTGGCAATTTGGTTGGCCGTTGCCAGAATGCGTACCACACCCAGTTTCGATTTGAGGCCGGCCCGCAGATCTACGTAGGCGGCATAGAGACGGAACGTCACGTTTCTATTGCTGAATGTCTGCCAGTAAATGTTGTGCAGCTGCAGATCGAGCGGATCTGGATACTGGGAGCAGTTTCTGCTCTTGCGATAATTCTGCGGCTTTGCATAGTGATACCAGAAGCCATAGTCCACCTCGGGTAGCTCGTGCTCAAGTTGTTTCACCAGCTCCTCATCAATGGGTTCCTTCAAATCTTGCACCCCCGGCGCTGTCCACTCACTCTTACTAACATTTACTGACGACTGCTGGACGTGCTTCACTTGCACCATAAGCTGCGCTTGCTGTACTCGCATCTGATTGTCGGCGTTGTGCAGCGAAGTCAGCAGTAGCAATAGAGCAAATATCACAAGCAGCACCAATAGCGTCAGCTTGCAAAAGCTACTTCTACCTCTTGTTGACATTGTGGCCAAACTAATCGTGGCAATCGTTCAGCTGGACGGTGAGGTCTACAGCTTAGTCGCTTTATGTACAGAAATTCTACGAAGCCCCGAAGTGCCTCCCCTCGTTAAGCAGAACTACCCGATCAATTATCAATATTGCAATGTTTGTTCTTCGTCTTGTTGCTGCCATTCAATCATTTGGCTAATTGTGCTGTGCGGCCAGAAAGCAGTTACACTAACCGAACGCAGTACACTCTCACAGTAATCTTTCGACATATGTATTCTAAGTGTAGAACTAACTCGCGTCAAGTCAATGGTATTTGCAACCAGCTAAAAATGTAGTATGCAATATATTTTGAGCACATAAAAGTGAACTGTGGAATAAAATGTGATAACATAAAATACTGAAATAGTAAGCATTATTGCTTCATCTATATATTAAATATTTTAAATGCTTATTGACTTGATTTTATTTAGAGTATTTTAGGTGACGCTTCAAATCAATAATGATTTTATCACTTGATTTTTACCAATTATTACCAACAAAATTTGGCTGCCAAAGATTGTATTCTGCTATCGGGCAATAATATTATATTTATTTCATTGTTTGACTAGCTTTCCCCTTATTGGCCCGATTGGGACTTTTAGTCATTGGCTTTAATGCGTACACAATCTGTTGATAAGAATACAAATTTTTTTTTCTTTTCATGTCAAGTGTGAGGTATGGGCGTTATCAGAGAAGCAGATATACTAACCTAATTGATTTGTTATTTCCCATAATAATGGAACTCGATTTAGATATGTAACATATTTCCATAAATTACTTATCAAACTTAACTTAATAGTTTACTTGTACCGCACTGCGGAATCACATGTCGATGGCTCTCAAAATAAAAACCATTGTAATAAACTGCCTTCTTATATATAACTATACCAAAAAAATATATATATTCTTGGTTCTACATAATCCTAATCCTAATTGTTGACTTTTGCAGACTGCACCTGTTCCAACACTTGCTGCTGCTCCTGCGTCTGCTCTAGATCCGTTTCCTGCTCCTCTAACGCAACCTGCTCCTCTAACAACACCTGCTCTGCTAACGATACTTGCTACTGCCCGTGAGCCCGAAGGATTAGCCGGATTTTTTAAAGCAACTTGCACCGTGGATAAAAATTTGATAACATAAAATATTGAAATAGTAAGCATTATTGCTTCATTTATATATTTAATATTTGATATGCTTGCCCAATTATTATGTTGCAAATAATCAAAAATATCGCCAAGCTATTGAAAAAAACTTTAAATAAGTTTATTTTAAAAGGCTCTTTATTGTACTGATTTTCTTAAGTGCGTTACAGGTGGCTCTCCAAATCTATAATGACTTTGTTACTCGATTTTTCGGAGTGCTGGCTGCACTGTCAGCAAAATTTGGCGGTCAGAGATTGTGTTCTGCTATCGGACAAAATTAATATACCTCATTGAGTTTTCAATTCACCCAAAAATGGTATTTGATTTGACTGACAAGTGCGTATTAAAAAATAATTAAAATTTCGATAATAAAGTAGTTTCTTTATAATTAAAATCAGATTGCGATATAAAGTATATATATATTCCACATATTTTCAGTTGTTATTAAACATCGTTTACTCAAGTTCCTCCTCTTTTAGGTTAGAAGATTACTGAAAATTCAAGCCCATCGATTATTTGTATTTTTACCTTTAGATTAGATTAGAGAAATTAATTGATTTGAAATAAAATCAGAAATTAAATATAAATTGTTGAATTGTCAGCGAATTGTTCTAAAAGCTTTTTTTGTATTTCCCACTTATAATATGCATAATATCACATAGCAAATTGTCCTAACAGCATTTTGAGTGAGGCCCTTTCACCGTCCAAGGTCCAGAGAAATGTGCAAAAAGCTTTTAGTAATCAAAAGATAAAATATATATATTTTTTTCAAAGTGACATTGTTTTTAAGTGTCATGTGGAGCACGTATTTGCTTACATCGCAATTGATAGTGGGCAAGTTGAGGGTTGCGTTTTGGAGTGTTCTGATGTTCTAAATAATGCGTATACGACTGTTGAAATAAATATTGATTGGACAACTAATATATATTCACTAATTGCTTAAAGACATCAGGTGTGACCCAATTTTGACTAAAACGTTGGTAGAAAACTCATTTACGATTTGCTCTTCAACCTCAAATGATGAACTTATGATATTACACATATTTTTCTTGTTGCCAGTAATTGCTATATATGATTAATTAATTAAAATAGTTTAGAACACAAATTTTTAATTTGTTGTTCAGCAGTTGACCATCTGCATGGGTGTAAACAGTTCCACATTCATATTATTGGCTTAGTGTACTTCATTTGTTTATCCTGTACCCACGGATCAAGTAAGTGGTTAAAATTGAATTTTACAAGTAAATATCTGTGGATGGATTGCGGCTTCTGTGGCCAATTCCATTAACAACGACGAAAACTAAGAACAACAACGACGATCCCTAGACAACAACGCTTATCAAGGAAACAATGACGAGAGCCAAGTCGAAGAAGTCGATCGGCGAGGAGCGGGGGTAACATGCGGCAATGACGAGGAAGATTGTCTCAGTTTGGCCTTTGATAGGATAGGTAGTGAGAGCCGTTTCTCGAACAAAGTATAGACGAGAGAGTTGCAGTTCAGCCTATGACGGAATAGGTTTAAGATTATTATATAAACCATCTAGATTATAGGATACTGGCTAGTCGCCCATTCTCGAGCAAGGCATTTTGTTTTTTGTTTCCGTACATTTTGCTTGTTTTATTTTTGGCGCTTTTATAACTTTGCGCTACGCTATTTTTGCAAGTAATTTAAAAATAATTTGTTGTTGTTGCTGCTGCTGTTGCTGCTGCTGCTGCTCTTGCTGCTGAGGGAGGTCGCTTGGGTGGGCTTAACGTTTTTGTGAGGTCCGAAGTTTGCTTTATTGACATTTCCAGCAGGACTTGTGACAATGAGCGCACACCTGCAGGACGCGTCCGCGTCAGCGCCGGCGAGAGGATAATAAAATTGTGAAACAACTTTTTAATGAGAAACATTTTTTGCACATTGCGATGCCCCTGCGAACGGACTGGGGACGGTTAAGAGGGTGAGTAAGGTGAGTACATTCACTTGGTAAATTGCTGCTGCTGCCACGGCTGTTGCTGATGATGATGTTGCTGCCTGCGGCTGCCATAGCTATGTATTATCATGATATGGATAGCAAACGCGAACAACTTATTACTTTTTAAAGATGCGGTAATCGCATAAGTGCACTGAAAAATGCTTAAGTGCTTTGAAAATGTTGCAAAAACCGATGTGAAACAATCGTTGACTTTTCCATAGACATTCTATAGGGTACTTAAATGTGTAGATTGTATGTGACATGATTCATTAGTAGCTGAATGGAAAAAGTCTACTAAGAATTTAGTAAGAATTGATACGTATGTTTACCAATCGATTACGACTTATCTTAAGATCGAATGAATGAGCAAATGCCACAAATAACTAAGTTTTCAAAAAAGATAATTCAGTTTATCAAACCAATAAATACTCATAAGTATTATGTCAATTTTATACCCTGAACTAATTGAAAAGGGGGAAAAAAGGTTATCATAGTATTTTGGTTATTTGTAATGTTCGTCATGATGTCTGTCCGTCTGTCCGTATGTCCGTCTGTATGAACGTAACTTTTTTTTTCACTAAAGCTAAAACCTTGAAACTTGGAACATATATTGGTCTGTGCCTGCGTCAGACAAAGTACTACGATTACTAGTAACGATAAAATTGATAATCGCAAATCGATAAAGACACATATCTCCCACAATTTAAGGCCACAGTCTTCAAATGTGGTTGATGGGTTGCTGGCGTTGCCACCTCGCTCCGCAACTCTTCCGTAGTTTTTGAGTTAGAGCCGTCAAATTGGGTTGGTATATTACTGGTAAAAAAAAATCGTGTTGAAATATTGTTGTTAAAATTTAAATAAGCATAAAGATAATGAATTTATGTTTAAAGTGGAGTCCCTAGGCAGACAGTGGTTGTTGCTGCTGATTATGATGATGATAATGATGAGCTGCAGCTCCATTGGCAACAGCCTTAATCGATTTTAGAGCCATGCAAAGTATATGAAACAACACGGAACATTTTCAACTTGCCAGTGAGTGGATAAACTTTTATGCCCAGACGATTGACGCGACCATTGGCCTGCCTACACCCAAACCAATGGGAAAAGTTGGGAGCTGGGAGCTGGGAACTGGGAACTGGGAACTGGGAGTTAAGAGCTGGTAGCTGCTAGCTATCCGGTCTATACGGTGACGCCTTCAAGACTGGTCTACAATTAACTATGAAAATTTTACGCCGCACTGCAAAACTGCAAACTTTTTGCCTTAATTACCCAGAAAAGTAACACAAATGAAACGCATCGACGCTTAATTACTTTTGCTAAATGGCACGGACATTGCTGGCAACTGCGTTAGAGGTAAACAGTGGGCGGCGCTGCCACTTCGGCACTTCGCTTTCATCCTCACTATGATTCGGATTCTGATTCTGACCAAGAGCACGGGCCAACTTTGCAGTATGCGGGCGTGAATGGTAGTCAGAGGTTGGGACTGTGGCACACTTTGAATTCGCTGCATGGCAATTTACTGCATTCAGCTCACAGCATTGACTTGGGCTTCTTCTGCTTATACACTTTGCTATGGATACTACAGATTATTATCAAGTGGCGTTGAACATGCTAAAAAAAAATCATTTCTGTGCCTATTGAAATAGTTAAGTAACTTAGAGACCAGTTGTGCTCTCACCTACAACAATCGTGGGAATATTTTAGGAATGCAACAATTAGGTTTTCTATAAGCCGCTGGCTTGTGAGAGTCGCACCTTAGTTCTCTTAAAATTATTATGAGAATTATAATGAAATTCTTCAACGATAGGTAAATTGGGCGCTTTCAATATTTCACTCAACAAATTCTACAAGAGTATCGTGTATTCACTATCCTTACATATAAGAAACCCAACTTATTTCTGGTTAGAGTCAGACTGATTGCTGCCAGCATGTGAGAGTCGCAGCACGATTTGACTTTTGTAGACGTCACAATTTGAGAAGTTTTGCCAGCTCTGTGGTAAACTTCTCCACAAACTTGTCTGGCACTTTGATTGCAAGTTTTTGATTAAAAGCCTGCCACAAAACGCCATGCACGCAATGCGGCAAAGTTTTCCACCACGCGCAGCCCGAAAATTGTTAATTGAATGCATTTGGGGTGCACAATGTTTACCCTTTACCGAAATGACTGGCGGCCATCTGGTATCAGTTGAACGGTACTAAAAGCGCTTGCTTAACGAACACGTGAATGATAATGATTATAAGCATGATAACATGGATTTACGATCGATATATGTACATATGTACATATGTATGACAACTACAGCATATTCAACCTTTCAGACACAAAGAAAGATAGATTGATATTTGTTAAGTTGGCAACAATTAATTTGGCTGGTATAACCAATGTGTGACCTTTTCGATTTTATATGCGTTGTTTTTGTAACATTTCAATCAGCTTAAAGTTTTAATTGATGTTTAATTTTTTGCGTGTTATTTTAAATTATGACTTCATGCATCACCAGAATCCGCCCAGAGACATTTTCTTTGTTTGTATTTGTATGTGGAAAATTCAAGTAAATGGCATTTTGATGAAGTTCCATACTTGGCTTGTGCAAACTAAAGCTAAAGTGACAAATATCGCATTTTTTGAATTTATCTTCACCCGACCAGTTGCATACCGTTCAGGGCATTCAAATTCAATTATACGAATAAAATTGAATAAAAGCGCTGCAGTACATTTTTGTCACAATGGAATTGTAACGTTAAATCATGTGCGACAACAATTTAAGATTAAGTTCAATGACGTAATATGTGGATAGGATTACTATCTGTTCATATTTGCATGCGAATGCAGATTAAACAACATTTGCCTAATGGAAGCATTTATCACTTGTACAGGCTTTGTTCAAATTGGCCACAAAGAAAAAGAAAAAAACAAAAACAATAATATTACAAAGGGAATATTCTCTATATTGGCAATGCGAAGAACATATTTCGAAGTACATTTCATTTGGCCGTTAGCAGTAAGCTTTGAAGATTGTGCCATTCATGGAGCTTTAGTTTTAATTTTAAAGCAAACGGAGCAACTTTAAGGCTGCCTGATGGCTTTAAAAAGAAGTCGAGACACTTGGAGTAGTTGCTGGAAAACTGTGCATCCGTAGCCCAAAACAGCCATAGACACGCCCCACTCCTGATGGGCGTGACGCCCTTTCGCTTGAGTGCAATGCAAGCCAAAGAAGTAAAAACTCGAAAATAATAGCAAAAGCAACTGCAGATATTCTATAAAAGCCGAAGCTAACGAGATTTGATGAATTGCAAGTCTTTGTGAATAGAAGCTGCAAGAAAACTGTGCGTGAATAGCATCTCCAATCCTCCACCCCAAAGCAGCCAAATCCGTAGCGCAAAAAAAAATCCCATTAAGTGGTTTAAGCCAGTGAAAGAGCGCACAACAAGCAACAGCATCGAGAAATTCAGTTGACATAAAGGAAGCCCAACGAACTAAAGCCAACATCTACGCCAACGCTAACCCGTTCCCAGCCAACAAACAGGCGGACGGGCATTCAGACAGTCAGCCAGACTAGCGGAGAGACGGACACTTAACTGGATGAGCACAAAGCATCTCGACGAATTACTTGGCTGTTGCTGCTGGACGAACATAAATGTTGGGGAGGCATCTTAAGAGTATAACAACGAAATTTAATTTGACCAACGGTTTCCCGCATCAAGACAGGATTTATTTATGACTTACTTTCAAGCAGGTGCTATAGTTGAAGTTTCAAGTCAGTCAATTATAGTAAGGGGTAAGTCAAAACTAGATTTAAAAGCGGCTAAAATAAGTCTATTTTAGGCATCTCAATCAAATTGTTGCAATGTGTTGAAATGTGCTGTAAATAGATTGCAAGAAAAACATTCAAGTCTGCTAATTTGAAAAATCTCATTGTGATGACTGAATTTGGCATATTTTTCATTAAGCGAAATACCATTATCAACATTTTGGTAACATTTTAAAGTTGTCGTCAGCTTTGTTAAGAGACAGTTCAATGAACAGTTGAAACACCGCAAAATATGCAATGAACTAAATACAAGCTTTAATACAAAATGCGATTGTGCTTCAACTTAAATTAAACACAAAGCTCTGAAAGCTGTGTCGCAATTAAAAATGAAAGTTAACCGTCGACTTACCAAAGTCGGCAATGCCTTGACTTTATAGCCAGTTCAAATTGTAAATGCTTACGCATTGTAAATAAATTCGTTTTTCTTTTTTCTTTAATTTTTTTCAAAACTCAAAACTAATGCTCACTCCTTGCATAGAGGCGGAGTCAAAGGTGGACGTTTAACAAATGGTACACACAGCAGTTACACATAGAAACTAAGATTCGATGATGGAGCGACTCTCATTTGCAGCACTCGGCTTGGCCATATTGCTGCACTCAGTAATGGGCATCTCGTACTACTTTGTTAAGGCCCGCTGCTCGCCGGCCCCCCTACTGGGCAGCTGGCTGTTCATCGCTTGCATTGGGGCCGTCCTACACAGTGTGCATATATTTCCACAGTGGTGCCGCAACTGTTCTGCACTATGTCGCCTGATCATGGAGACGGCCATATGCTGCTTGACGCTGGACGTAATGCTGAGCAAGTTTTGGTGTCGCATCGAATCAGTGTGCCACTGTGCCATTGTTGGCATTCTCGGGCTTCTGGTCACAGAGAAGTGCACCTTTGATTCCTGGGAATATTGGCTGCTTGGCGTGACCACCAGCATAATTGGGGGCTGTCTGCTCTGGCTTACGCTCTGGGCGACTGCATTGACCAGCAAGATGCGTCTGGACTATTCCAATTGGCAGCACAAAGTCTCACATTTAGTTAGACAAACTATTTACCATTTTGTTTTCGGCCCAATGGATCTCCAGTCGACTAAAGTGCAAAATTCAGAGGAGTGTGAGCAGAGTTTTGCCAGCTGAGCAACGCTTCCACGATACTAAATGCCAATTTTATTTATGGCCTAAATATTATTAAAAATGATTTGAACACTCATCCAAACTGAAATGAAATTTTATGACAAATGAATCTCATTAACCATGAAGCTTTCAGCTGGAGTCTCATTTTGGTCGCTGTGGCAAATTTTGAAGAAAATTATAAAAACAAATATATACATTTTATATAATGGAAATTCTAATTGACAGCTAGTTGTAAGTTAATGTTTCTTGCTTACTTTAAAAGACACTCTAAAAGCGATGCCATCATTAAAGCAATTTTATGACGACCTTGGATTGATTTCCCGACGATCGAGCAAAACATTCGGAAAGCATTTCTTTAAAGCTTTAAGCCAATTTGTGCACCGATGCAGTTACAAAGAAACCCGTTTGGCCGTATCATGGCCATGTGGCAATGCGGAAGACATCCGCTGTGAGCGCCTAATTGTGGGCTGGGGCACAGCTCCTCTCGTCGCGTTTCGGAAGACGGAACCAAAAACCAAAAAGACAGAATGCGGTTGCTGGGTCTACTGCACTTCACCATACTCTTTATTAATCTTGAAGTGATTGCAAAAAATTGCATTTGTATAATTTAATATTTCAGCAATTTTTTTTTAATTAAAGGTATATATTTATATCAATGCCTGTGATTATATTTTGTTACATATCTTAGAAATCAGTCCCAAGAATGTTAAGCTAGGGTATAAAAATGTGAAAAGTGTTGCTGTCATGTTAAACTTGAACTTGAGACATGAGCAGCACTGAATGATGAGGCACGACAACATGCAACAATATAAAAAAATATAATAATGCATTTTTGTGATTTGGCCAGAAATGAAGACACGCAAAGGCATTTGTTAAACAGTTGTAAGTAGCGAACTGCTTTTGGCTGCCGCTTGTGGCATGCTACGCTCTAACTACTTTTGATGGCAATTGAGGAAAATTACCGGCTACAGCTCTCCTACTTGTTGTTTGTCTACCTGTCGAGCTGGCAGCCAGCCTGGCTGCCTGCTTTGCCTGCTTTGCCTGCCTGCTTGGTATATAAGACTCTCCACTGTCGTCAGTGACGTTAATCAAACCGCGTCGCTTGACAGTCTGAGACTGCAAAAAAGTGCAAGTGTTTTGCCAACATCATCAGCAGCAGCAACAACAACAAATTAGTTATAAACAAACGCGCGCAAACCGTATTCGCACCAAAACCAAAGCAAACTATAAATCGTAGCAGAGGTGAAGCATTTAGTTGTGTATTTTCTTTTTTTCCATTTGTTTTTTTTTTTATGTTTTCGTTACTTTAATTTGTTATTGTTTTAAACAAATATTAGCGCTTATATATAATCATAATTGTTATAAGACTACATATGAAAAATATACAAATTTGCTAACAAAAGCAACGTAATACGCAGTTAGTGAAAGTGAACTTTAAATAAGACTCTTGCCCATTCGTGGAGCGTTGCTAAGCTGCTTATGCATGTGTCACCTGTGATCCATGGCAATTAGCCAATTGGAGAACAACCCACTTGGCGTTGCAAGGGAGCCCAAAAAGTTAAAAACAAGAGTATGTAAATATTATCTTTTAAATACACTGATTAAAGGTGCTATTTGAAGAAGGTAATAATTCAATTACAATTTATTTAGTTTTCTTATGTTCACGGCTTATGGTCAAATAGTTGTAGCATTTTAAAAATATGAAATCAAACAAATTAAAAATATAAAATATATCTCTTGAATAAGTTTTCCCCGGCCAGCGAGGAACTTATGTAAATGATAAAAAGAAAAAAAACGAACTGAAATATTTATCTACTTATTTTTTAATGTTGTCAATTTAAAAATAGATTTGAGATAAGTATAACAAATCTTAGCTTGAACGTAACTAATATTATAATTATTTAATTTATTATATATACTTAAGTTATTTTTGTGGGTTTATTTAAATTTGTTTGCAGTCGGGCATTAGTTTGGCACAGCTTTCACGTAATCTCTTTAAAATTAATTAGTACTGCAAATACATCCGCTTACTCTGAATCCTATATTTTAGATGCTTTGCCACGACCATCTCTTTTGTGTGATGTTGCTCGGGCAGCTGCTTGTGCTGCCATTGCTGCATGCCACACCAGTCTCCAGTCCGGAGATACCCAACAAAACTTCGAAATCACCCAACAGCGTCCAGACGCAACAGCAACTACACAAGACCAATCCCAATGGCCAGGAGGCGCATCTCAATTCGTTAAGCGCCTTTGCCAGCAGCTACGATAACCTTGGCACGGTTCAAGCTCAGATGCAGCCGGCAGCTGAAGCGGGCTTCAAGCCATCCTATAAGCTGCCCGAAATGGAGACCAACTTTACACCCATGCAAAGCGCCACTCTTGGGGAGACCAGCAGCATTAGCAGCCTGCCCAGCACTCCAATGCTGATGCAGTATCTGCCGGCTCAAACGCTGGAGGATGGCAGTGGAACTGTTCAGTATCTACAGCTAATACCAACGCGCCCCATCATCGTGCCCATCAGTCCCTTCTTACAAGCAGCTGCCTCTGGAGGCACTCCGGCCAATCAGTCACCCTCCATAACACCCAACATTGCCACCGTACCCGATTATGGGGCACGCGGAGTTCAACTGAGCGCCCTGCCCGCCAATACGGGCATGACAGGCATACATTACTCAGCTGCCGGCCTGCAGGGCTACGCCAGTGCCATCCCTCCGGTTGCAGCCTATCGCAGCAGCTATCGCATCAATCGCGAGGCCAAGGACAAAAGCTTTCCGGCTGCCTTCAGCCTAAATCTCAATGAGTACTTGCCGTCAGTGACAGGTGATGTCTCGGCAGCGGGATCAGCCTCGCATCCGCACACGCAGCTGTATATTAGAGCCAGGCCTTAGTATTAAGGCCGAAATCACTTTGCGGCCAAGTTCGCGGCTTAAGTCATATGTTTTTTTGTCTTTGTTTTTTTTTAAATTTTTTTTTATAGTTCTTAAGCTGTGTTATTGTCATGTTTGTAAGGTAAATAAAGCACTTGATTAAAATTAAACTAGGAATCAGTGGAGAAATTTGTTAGACCATCACTTTCCAGTAAACGCACACAAATCGCGAAAACCTATATTACATAACCGTAAGCCTGGTCAAGAAATGAAAAGAGATAAGCAAATAAACTAACAACAAACCAGCAACAAGGTCGTCTTGAGATAGCAGTCGCAGCGCACAGAATGAATTTCCATTGTTATGGGCCTCTTTTCGAGTGAAAGTCAACAACAATTTCACGCCCGTCCGGAACAGTCAAATAACTAACATGGCTAAGACCTGCACTTGTTCACACACATGTGTCAGCGCCCATTACGTTGTCAACCTTGAAGTTGCGTCAGTCAGTCAGTCAGCATGTTCGCCTATCAGCCAAGTGCCCCAACTAAAGCGCACCAGCGTCGATTCAACTCGAATCGAGTCAAGCCACACTTGTAGTCATCTGTCTAATTGTCGCGTTTTGACAAATCCATTTGGGACTTTCATTACCACTCCATCTTTTGCTCAATTACAGTGATCGAAAAAGCTTCTTTCACTTGCGGCATTATGTGGAGCAATTGCCGACCGGCATTTTACCAATTTGTTAAGTGCACCTCAAATACCCTTCCGAAAATTGCTTAATATTCAAGCGTTTTGTATGTTATCAAAATGAATTATTATTATTAATGTTGTTTTTATTTTATATAAGTTGCACTTGCTATCTACTTAAAAGTATAAGAAATCATTTATATAGATACTCGCTTGTTATTGATATTATTAATACTCAAAGTACTTGTTTGTTTTCTTAAAGCATATATACACATATATCTGAACAAATTTTACACATTTTTAGGCGCAGTTTTCATTAATAGTCATCTGAGCTAATTCTAAACTGACAGCAATTTGTGATATACCCAAAGTGAGGCATACAATCGATGGGATTTACATGCCACAGCGAAGTACTGTATTGCCACAATTTACTTTCCAGCTCTAATGGCGATAACGACGCCCCGTAGCGTGCTTAGCGCTGTGTGTCTGCCCCTACCCCTGCCCCTGCCTCTGCCTCTGCCTTTGCCTTTGCCCTGCCCCTGCCTCTGTCCCTGCCTGTGCGTCTTGTGAGGCACAATAAAATTTCGTGCTCTACGCGGGATATGGATGGGCCTGATTAGGCCCACTTGGTCCGAGTGGGGCGGAAGTGAGCGGTTAGCGCTGGCTCCGAGAGCAGAGCACCAAATATAAATACATACAAAGATATTTGAATGTAGTTCAATTAATGTTCATGTTGGAGATGCTCTGGATGCCTTGTCGCTTGTGAAGTGAATGTGGCAAGTTGGGGGAAGGCGATGATTGTGACCGCCCATGGCTGTTTTGCATGTTTCTATAGCTGTTATAACACTTTTAAATGCGTAAATTAGCTTTGATGACTTGACTTTGCATATTTATGTTGTTGCTTTTGGGGCGGTGGTATTTGAATTTGAAATGATTTTAATTTTTAATTTCTAAGCTATTGCTGCTTATCCGCACTTTCCATTTCAATTAATTGTGCGCACTTGGCGCTTTCAGCTTCTTTTGTTTCGCATTTTTGGGCTTGTCTCGGTTTCAGTTCAATTTTTCAGTTCGATGCAATCCTTCAACGCCTCTCAGCCGCCTCTCAGACATCTCTCTCACCTGCATTGCCAGACAGCACACATCATACTTCTCTCTATTTAACTATTTCCCTCTCTCTCCTTCTCTCTCTCCCTCTCTCTCTCCCTCTCTTTTTTTTTGTGTCTACCTCTCTCTGTCTTGGCCAACTAGCCACAATGCGTCCACTTGTTGGACTTTGGCTATGGCCTGCAGAACTGCACAGCCGTCGCTGTTGGCCAAGTTGGCCTCTTGGTATAAAACACACCGTTAACGCTTCGCTCTGTCGCAGTCGCAATTGCTTCGTTGTTCGGTTTCAGTTTAAGTTTAAGTTTCGGTTTTTGGTTTCGTTTTCGTTTATGTTTATGTTTTAATTTTAAATTTTTTTCCTCGTTGACTCTTGGCCACTTTGAGCCTTTTTGTTGTAATTTTTTTGTGGTTACTTTGTGAATATTGGTATTCGTTGTTAAGGAACATCCGCCCGAAAATATTACCAAAGTGAATGCTCAAGTGCTACTAAATTTAAACAGCGGTGTAATTAGTGTTAAGCAAGTCGCAACTTAACACGGATTTCAGTACATTACAGTGACATTTGTAAAGAAATGGTGTGTAAAGGCCAGAAACCATTAAACTTCCATCAACTCAAACTATATATTAATGAAATAAACAATTAAGCTGTTAAATACAAATGGGCAAATAACTAATACTTTTGGAGAGTAATTATGCATGTTATAACAAGGCAATAACTAACTAATTATTACTATATTCATTGGTATTCAGATGTTCAGCTGAGAGTTTATTTGGGCCAATGACAATTTTGACTGTATGCCGGTCATATTAACTATTATGAGATAACATAATTCCAATTAATTTGAATGAAGTAATCTTTCCTTAGTAAAGGTCACATTAATTAGCAAAAAATTTGGACATTAAAAAAACATATCACTTTCACTTAATCAATTATTTTTTTAAAGGGTTTTAGTTTGAACATTTTTATCAGCAGGTGAACTCAATAAGGCAGCATCCGTTCTAATACCAAAGCCTTTGCGTCAAGTTGTAAAACCCTCTTTTGAAATCGATTTATATTTTTGTCTTAAAATAAGATTCAATATTTGTATTATTGTGATCATTTGGTTACTAATTATCGACCAGTAGTCTTTGTCTTTGACATTATAGCATCCAAAGCTTGAAACTCAAACCCGGAACCTACAATATATATATATATATCTAGTTATATGAACGTTAGCTTAATGGAATTTCCACCCATTTCCCTGTAACTTCAGCAACTGCATCGATTAGCCATAGTACATGTTCTTAGACCGCCCATTAGGCAGATTGTGACAGACATGATTGATTGGCATGACCCTACTAGCATTGCTAGTTCTTGTCATTCGCGAGTATGTGTCTTAGGTCTTTTGTTTTGTTTTTGTTTTTTCTTCAGGGATAAATACTAAACCACTCAAATTATTCAAGCAAATTATAACGATGGCAATTGCCAGTCAATCAGTTCATTGTCCACTCTGTCATTAATCAAGCTGCATTTGCATCTGAGCGTCAAACGTGTGGCCAAGCCGATCATTACCAGCTGCCTCGGCCAAAATAATTAGAGAGTAGCTCCAATGTGGCGCACGCATCCATGATGATGATTACGCTGATGCTGCCGCAGTGAATGCTGCTTCACATTGTGTGCGACAATGTGGCCAAAATTGCAACTAGTTTTTTGAAGTTTTTTTTTTCACATCATTGAAAATTGCACAAAATGCAATATTTGGCTACCGCACATTGGGCCAGATCTTCTATTTTTTACTTGTAATACATTCGAAAATTTTAGTTACTCAATTGTAATACGGCATTTTTGAAAGCCATCATCTATATAATAATTATACAATCTTTTACACTAATGCCCATCCTAACCGCCTATATATGAAAAAATTAATATTATAACAATTTCTTTTGCTTATTACAATTTCTTTTGCTTGATCACCATGTTCAGTACTTATATTCGACATATCTTTTCAATTAGTTTACATAATTAGCATTCTGGTTTTAATCGAAAGCCACATATATTTTAACAAGCACAAAGTTTCCTGTCTCTTTAACCACACAATTAAGCCGAACAAACTTATAATTTTTAGGAATTTGTTATTCTTGTGCAATGATTTTCCAAATAGTTGATTAAAATATTAAATTACTCCCAAAAAAATTTGGAAAAAAATTGCTTCTGGACCAGTGTGCACTGAGACGAGTGCAGTGTTCGCTACAAATCGAGTCCGCTGAATGTTGATTTCGGCTAACCGAATGTTTTGTGTTGAATGTTGGGGATGTTGCAATCGGAATCGTCTTGGAATTTGTGCGTGTATGCCGTGACAAATAGCCGTTAGTTTTGGTCAAGATTTTTAGAAAGGTGCACCGGCTTATCAGAGCTTCGGGCTGGCCTTGTGCCGTATTGGCCAGCTGGAAAATCTCCCACTAAGCGAGGGAATTGTTTCGTTCCTCTCTGATCTGATAGGATTGGATTTTGTCTTGTCTGCTCAGCTCTGGATGCCAGTCAAGCGATAAGCGAAAATTTCTCGATTTCAGCATTGATATTGTCCATCGTCAAGCAGCACATTTAGTTGTCAGCCATATAAAAACTCAATTAAACGCATCACTTGGCCGCATGTGGGCGTGTCAGCGAAAGGCAAAAAAAAAAAAAAACTAAACGAATAGAAAACAGCCTTTCACCGCCAAAGCCAACGATGCAGCTAAAATTTTAACTATGATATAACGAGCAACGTAATAACTTGCACCTCTTGCTGAATAATAACCTTCTAAAGCCAGCATATTCCACTTTTATTCCATCCTTTCATCTTTTATTTTTATAGCAGCAACTCCCTCTTCTCTGGACACTGGTGGCCGTGCTGCCAGCGATCAGAGCGGTGTTGACGCCTACGCATGGATTTGACGATGACAACACACCAATTCAGCTGAGTCTCGAAGACCTGGAGCGTGAGCATGACAAAGAGCATGAGCATCGCTATGATCTCAATCGTCCACCGCTGCTTCCAACGCGTTACGCGTGGCATCCGAGCGTTGCCGCTAGCGTGCCACCTAGCTACGTGCACGATGCCGCCCAGCTGGAGCAAGTGGAGCAACTGCGCCAGCTGCATCAGCAGCATCAGCAGCTTAGCGCTGGCTATGCGCTGCCCACCCATCTGCCAGGCGGTCTTCTGCTACTTCGCGGCCCCAATGTGTAAGTATGCATGAAGCTTTTGCACGAGCTTTCCGCGCTTTTAGAGCTTTTAGCATTGACACAAAGCTATGCAACTTTCAATTAAAGTTTAGCTTGGACATTAACACTACAAAGCTTTGGTAACTTTGTCTTCAACGCAAGACATAAGCTTCTTCAATGAGTAATACCGATGGTTTTCATGAGTTTATATTTCAAATCAATAATAATTCGTACGAGTACATCGTACATTTTTCTGATAATATCATTTTCATTTTCTGTATGAAACCTGTGCTTATTTGATATGAAACTAAGGGAAATTAAATAACCTCTCCCAAAGTATAAACTTGTATATGTAGTCATATCGTAGACATAAATAAAAGCAACAGAAAAGTGCTCGATATACGATTTAATACTGGATTGACTTATAGATGTCAATTTCTAATATTTGAAAAAAAAAAACAAGTTCTTAGATGTGCCTTTGAAAGAACGAGTTGATTTAAAAAGTACATCGAATTCTTGAAATTACTTTTATTGTATTATTATTATTAAAGCGAAATGTATTTTGAAACGGCATTCGTTTCTCTATAAGTCTAGAAATGTTCCCCTAATCACAATATAATCGCTTAATTGGTTTTTGTTTTTTAATTACATGAATGTGAATACATAATTTGGATAGAAAACAACTTTAAAATGTTAGCAGCAAATTTGAGTTATCTAACTTCCCTTGGAAAAGAAAACAGGTTTCACATAATTGTTCTTAAGAACACAAAAACAAAATAAAAACAAATCCACGGTTATTTCCATACAAGCTTAAATTGTAAGTGCTAAAATTAAAATTATAAATTATCTCAAGCTTTTCGATTCGAAGCCTTTTTAAATGAACAACTTCAAGCTTGGTGACACATCACATTTCACAATTCTACAATTGTGAACAGTTTCTTTTTTTAATGTACTGTCAACTTATTTAGATATCTCTTCAAGAATCCTTAATGTTTATGCGAACACAGACATACAATTCTATTAAGTGGATTTATACAAAATCTGTGGAACACGCCAAATTTGGACATATAACTAATGTGAACTTTCTAATAACATACTTTTCCTTATGCACGAAGTTCGGAGTTGAATGAGACCTTCAGCTTCATAGGCTCCATTACCAACATAATTATAATTGAAACTTGACCAAGAAAGAGTGTAGAAAAAAAACCGGAACAAGAAACACAAGTGGCCAATGGACGGACACTTTGCGGTGTTGCTGTCTGGCGTTTGAATTGTGGTTTGCTACAAATTGCCGTGTGGCAAGCATATGTCAATTGAATTGGCAATTGTGGCTGTAAATGAGTGTGGAAATTACGAGCGTAATCAGATGTCCCTAAAGATACATTTAGACAAATGCCGGTATTAGCCTACATCTAATTCCACACTATAGATTGATAGATATATAGATAGTTAGATGGTTAAAGTACTGGTGGGGGTGGATGTTGAAATAAACTCCAGTTTCACTCACGACTGTTGCCGCCGTTGGCTTCCGACAAATGGCAGCAGTGATTGCCATAATAAATAGCAGAGATTAGATAAGAGCAGCTCGTTAAGTCACGTCTTTCATTCTGTTCACTCTGTTAAGAGCTCCCTCACTTTCTCTCTCTCCCTCTCTCTCTCCCTCTCTCTCTCTCTCTCTCGCTCTCTCTCTCTCGCTCTGTATCTCCCACTCTATTAACGTCTCTTTCTCTGTCTATTGGTCTCAGCTCACCAACGCAAGCAACAATTGCTACGACCGCAGCAGCAGCAACATCAGCAGCAACAAAGACGCGAACGCGACTACTTCAACCCATTGTGCCCTTTGATCTGGACCTGCAGCTTCAGCTTAATGGTGTGCAATATCTAAGCGGCAATGAGCTGATTGCTCCCACAGCACCACAGTTCCTGCCACGTCCCATACCAAGACCAGTGCCCCGCCCCCAGCGACCAGCGTACGCCTTCCTACAGCAGAGGCAGCCGCCGCATCAGCCGTTTGCCACACAAGTGGCCCTGCCTCCATTGCTGCTGCAACAGTCCAAGCAGTTTGCCTACGCGCCACTGGCACAACGCAACTATGCGACTGCCACTCGCATTCCGCTGCCCTACCCGCCCAGCTTTGTTAGCATTACGACAAGACGACCGGCGTCTGGTCGTTACGCCACCAGCTATTCGAAGCCGTTCCGGCCATCACAGCCGGACTTCACGCCGGATCTGTTTGCCGGACGTGACTCTAAATCGCTGCTGGAATCGTACATACCCAGCTGGGAGGTGTTGCGCCTGTACAAGGAGCACCAGCACCGACCACTGCAACGCCACACCTTGGCCTATGCCAGGCCCGGCCTGCGGCTCTTCAAGCGCGACTCCCAACTGGAAAGATTGCCCCAGCGCAGTCGGATCGTTAAGAAGTCCCTGGACAAACAAGTGATGCCGCAGTAGCTGGCCAAATTAGCCACTTGAATTTAGTTTGTACTTGGCGATTGCATTTCTACATATGTATATATATATATATGTTTACGTATATAAAATTAAATTTTTTTTTTACTGTAATAATATTTTATCTAAATATATATGTTTGTATTATTTATTAAAGCACACAAATTAAAGCTCATCTTTAAATGAACAAATATTGCAACACGATTATAAATATAGATATGAAGATGAAGATGATTCTGAGAGATACTTATCCAATCAACAGAATCGGACACTTGGGGCTTTGGATTACTGATCCTGCTCCAGATAAAACTGTTAATATTTTACAGAATCGTATATGCAACCGTTCGGTTGTTGCAAACATGCTCACAACTTCACAATCCGCTTTTTATCATTGAGGAAATTGCTTAAGCGGCCTAAAATGCTTATTTAAGAAGTCACATTTAAAATTGTCTTTTTCTGCAAGCCAACTGGTTAGTAACTAACTGTGTTTGATGTTCATTTAAACGTATGTCACATGCCACATGTCACATGTGTCATACCGATCAGCAAGTGTTGTTGTTATTTTGCGCTGTGATCACTGATCACATAATAGGCCATGTCCCGTCTCCAGTGTCCCGTCCGTGCTATTTAAAGCCAACCGATTCAAGCGACAATCCAAATGAAAGATGCGACTTTAGCGTTTTAGTCAATGAGCCGCTGCTGATGTAATCGCGTCCATAAACCAAACAGCTACCAATAACAAACAATTACATTAGCCCCAGCAGCAGCAGACGTCAGCAAAGCTGCACCTAAGTCAACGTCGACGTCGCAGTCGCAGTTGACGCCGAATCGCATCGTAGCGAGGAGATGCTGCAAAATTATGATTTGTGTGGCAGTGTGTTTGTTGCATCGCATATTGCATATTGCATGAAAGTCCGCAAGTGTACAATTTATGCAAGTAGGAAGCGCCGAACCGTTGCTGCCGACAACAACAACACTTGTGGCACCACCTCGCCACATTTTGGGCTGTTAATGAAGTTGCCACAAAGTTGGCTGCCACTGCCGAGGGCCTAATTGTTGCATTGTCTGCTGCGGTTTGTTTACCATCAATTAAATGTGAATAGTATATTTAAACATAGGATGTTTACTCTGCCCAGTTTCCGCTCATCATCGCAAGACATGACCAAAGAACTGTGATTATGATAAGTAGATAGGTGGATAGATATATGTTTATGTGGCGTCAGTGTTGCATTTATATTATGCGTTGCATTTCCTACTTTGTTAGAGCTGAAATCTTTTCAACATAAGCAAAGCATAAGGAAAACAGCTTCTCGTAGAAGGACGTAAATGCAATAACCACCTCAATACAATTTGTGAATGAAATGAAACAAATTCTGGTATTATTAATAAAAACGATTAAGAGTGTACTAGCCAGGGATTGGGCGAGGTACCCTCAGTGTAATTATCACGTAATCACAACAACGCAATATCTTCGAATGTACACTTGGGGCAGTAAATAGCTGCCGCACTTAAAACCACCTCATACTTATATAAAAGTTGGCAATCCTATAAAAGGAGTAACTTGAATTTATAGATATTACACATCTGTATGTATAACGAGCAGATGTACTCTTGTACGTGCATATTGCTCCTTAAATAATATGCAAATAATATAATGTACAAACATTCCACTAATGACATAAGTGATCTTCACTATCAAAGATCAGACGTATCAGCTTCCATCTAACCTGTGCAGTTACAACATCCCAATTGGCAATGCAAAAATGCAGAAGTAAACTGGTTTGTACCGCAACTATGCCATTATCTTTTTAAAACCCATTTCATCTGCAGTTAATTGAATTAATTATTTTGCAAAGTGTTCAGCATTTAGTGGACTTGACGACGTTAAATTTGTTCAATTTTTAATTCGTGCAATTAGCTACAACTTGTTGTTTTTTTTTTATTATCGTTCGCTACTCATTTTATTTCTTACATTAGATATGTCCGGTTTAACAATAGAAACATATAACGAATCAAAAATTATATTCATTAAAAAGTATTCTCTGTCAAAGTTTTCCTTAAAATGATTGTTCTTCTTGCAAGAAGATCTTAGTTTTTTTTTTATTTGAGTTTTTTATTTGTTTTTTGAAATGTAGTTAAACCACTAATAACTAATAAGATTTACCCGTTTGACCTTGTTTCAATACCTATGCATACACCCGCCTGACTCTGCTAACAATTGCCAAATCCATAGATAACGATTATCTTATGACCTTGCAAAATCCAAGGGCCCGCTCCAGATGTTCCACAGCTTTCAAATGCATGCATATGAGCATAATGGGGAATTCACCTTCGGTTCGAATCGAATGCAGGCCGATTGCTGCCGTTGTTCAATATACAAATATTTTTTATTTATTATTATTATTATAGTTAATGATGTTTATTAGTAATACGCTTTCGATTGGGCATATCTACAATGGCATCTGTTTTACATCATTTGTATTATTATTGTTACGGTTTCAATTTACAGAAAATAAAATAAATAAAGCACAACATCTAAAATAGAAACAGCTTTGGTTTGAATTAATAATATCCACAATATTGGGTAGGGTGACAAAGGGTCGGTGTTTGGCCTCTGGTTTTCAAGAGCTGCTGACAAGCATAAAATTTAAATCACATGGGCAAAGCCCCCACGCCAACCTTCTGCAAATGGGCGGGTATGCTGCATTATCATTGCCGCCTATTATGATATATTATTATTAGGCCCAAAGACTTTCAACGCATCTTCGTCATATGTGCGCGTCAAATGAAAAAGAGCATAATAAATAGTATTAATAATAATGACAGTGACGTCTTATTGGATACGACAGACTGTGGGCTTAAATGATGAGTTAGCAAATGGTTACTCAGATTGTAAATGTTGGCGGAAGAGGAGGGGTACAGCATTGGGCAACAGGGCAACCCACTGGTTGATCAACATCTCCATTGCTATTTATTCCCCTATCGATGTGATCAAGGCGAATTTGTGAATGAATAAAAAGCGCAAGCCAAAATAATAAGAAACAAATAAAAACACAAACACAAACTTTCAAACAATGTAGCCAATTGCCGATTGTCGATTGCGAAGGGGCGCGTGATATTCGATGTTTTTCTTATTCAATTTGTTTTATTTCTTTCCACGTCTTTTATCCCTTTTTAAATATTTTATTGCCATTATCGTTATCGCGACATGGTGTTGTTAATGTTGTTGTTGCTAATGTTGCTGATGTTGCTGATGTTGCTGATGTTTTAGCTGGCACTGAATGTTGATCAAAATGTATTACAAAACTGACAAAACAGTTGTGCGTTAGCAGTTTGCCGTCATTGTTATGCCATTTCACTTTTGCACGTAAACACAGGCGCCAACAGCCCAAGACCCAAGACCCAAGACCTAAATCTCAAAAATCTTAAATCCAATCCCACAGCTCTTAATGCGCCAATTTAATTGCCACTTGCAAAGATCGCGATGCATGCAGCTCGCTTGTCTCTGAGCGTTGGCTCTGCAATTGTTTATATGCAAATTTCGTTTCGATTGGTTCAGGCTCCGTCGTTGGGCTGGTTGGCTTTGTGTAAGCCACGGAGCTCGTAATGGTCATAATAATAAGCATAAAATGTATTCATCTAAAATGAAAGGTCTCCCAGACTGAATCGCTTGAGTGACTCTAGGTGACTCTCGTATACCACGCAAATCGTTGCGCCAGTTTTATTTTTATTTTTATGACTTTGAACTTGAACTGAGCTAACAAAAAGTGGTTTATTTTTCTTTCAATTCTTTCTAAAAGAAAAAATGTTGTAAGATGAAAGGAATCAAATAGATGAAATGTGAAGACAACAATGATGCAAGTAGGCAAGGTCAATCGCTGAATAAAAATGCTATATTTGTTTTGTATTATAACTTTGTGGTTGTTTGTCAGCAGTTGTCTATATTTGAATTAATATGTTGTATTTCTTATCCACTCTAACCATTGTCTACTATCTGATTTACCATACCAAATTCTTATTGGCCTTATCTTCCTAATTATTAATATTAATAATTAACTTTGACTTCATTTACATTTCTCAAATATATTATTTTTCTTTTAAGATTAGAGAACTCTGCTAGCAGATAACTACTGCATCCAATTGGGCATACAATATAAGTTCTCATTTCAATTAGTTATCAAATGTAGTTCATAATCTTATGTTCAGAACTATCTGCTGGACGTGTCTCATCTAAGTCATATTGCTCAAGTTTATTTTTTTTGCGCCAACATATTACAGATCAGGTTTTTAGATATATATATATATATATATTTATATGTATACGTTTACCTCTTTGTTATGAAAGACGTATAAATTAGACAAGTAGCATTCTAGCATTGAAACGAATCTGAATTAACGGAATCATTGCATTTGTTATTGCTACTATTGCAGCAGCGTCTGGAAACCTAGACACACACCGAAACACACACACACACCGACACACACACACACACACCGACACACACACACACACACCGACACACACATTCGCATGGTATTAGTGCTAGTGAACTCGTCCATTGCTCGTTCCGCACGTTCCCGCTGGCTGACTGACTGGCCAACTGACTTGAACTTGCTGCAACGAAGACGCTGCTGACTGTGGCTGCTGCTGCTGTTGCTGCTGTTGCTGTTGTTGTTGTTGTTGTTGTGACTGTTGCTGTTGCTTCGTCTTTGGCATAAAAACCAAGCGCGCGGCCTGCGCCAGCCACAGTTAATCGCGCGACTTTTGAACGCCTGCACCGTATGCCGAGAGTTTGGCACGCAACGAGCAAGTTTCCCACCATTGACAGCATCTTGTTGGAATTTTGTTTTTTTTTACTGTTTTGTATTATTTTGTTTTAATTTTTTGTTTGAAAGTGGGCATTGATTGTGTTCACTTGTGTAGACTGGCATTTAGCAAATGTAACTGTGCGAAAAAGCAATTAATTCGCCAACCAAGTGAGACCCCAACTCAATTACAATCTATCAGATAAATACGTACTGATTTATACTACAGACTCGTCTCAGCGAGTGCATTTGCATGTGTGAAAATTAATATTTAAATGTGCATTGTCTGAGTTCGTCGTCTGCAGCAAATACGAGCATAAATCTCTGGAAACAATGAGATTATCATTGATATTGGTATGTATTTGTACGAGCAGGAAGCTAAGCCATTCAGTACTTGCATAATCAAAGCCGCAACCCAGACACAATGCGGAAGAGCCACCAAAGGTGTGTCGTCCATAGACAGCCCAAAAAAAAAAAAAAAAAAAAAAAAAAACAATCACAACATTCAATTTGTGCCCATCAACAGTTTATTTACAAATTGGGTATAGCCGAAGGCCAATTAGAAGTTTTCTTATGTCAATTTTGTGGCTTGCAATTTGATTGTGCATTTGCAATTTGTGTGATTCGAAAGCGGTGTTGAAGGCGTGGCTGGCCACCGAGCACACAAATCGCTTCCTACCACAACTCCTTGTGCCGTCATCCGTTGACTGTTCAATTAATTTGCATGGCAGTCGCTGAGCCGCTGAGCCGTTGAGCCGCTGAGCCACTGAGCCCGCTTGGCCAGCTGCAAGATGTGTTTCACTTTTGTGTTTTATGCCACGTAATGGCTGCCATGGAAAGTGTGCACAGTGGGAGTTGACAGCAGCTATATATATATATATATATATATATATATATATAGACACATTCGCATATGTGTTTATGATATGTGGTGTGTGTTTGAACTGTTCGAGTGTGCGACAGTCTTAGCCGGTCTTTGACAACAGTTCACTGATCCTGATTGTGATGTTCGAATGATTTTTTCTTTTGTTTTTTGTTTTTGGTTTTTTGTTTTTTGTTTTTATGTAAGCTTGCAGAACATTGGCCTTTATATAGTCCAATAATATGAACGGTAGCTATGCCGTAAGTTGTGGGATTCAACTTTCATATCAACTACTGATACCGGATAAACATCAATTTGCACAACTTGTTGTTTTCCATTTGTTTAGCAATGTGCACAATCGACTTTCAGCGGGCCATTTTGCATGTTTCCCCCCCCCCCTCCAATGTGCCATACAATGTAAACGAGCTGTAAACAAACAAAACGATGACAACTAAAGCAACAGCAGCAGCAGCAGCAGCAAATATATGTGTAACTTGGAAATGATACAAAGCTTTTATATCATCGCTTGGCTGACCTCTGAACTCAACTCAAGTGAAGATGCGTCGCCATTGCCCTTGTCTTTGTGCCAATGTGTGTGTGTGTGTGTGTGTGTGTGTGTGTGTGTGTGTGTGTGTGTGTGTGTGTGTGTGTAGCTCTCTGTAAGGTAAGGCGCCTGCGGTTTTGGCCTCGTCAAAAATCAGAGTAAGACATCTGATTGTTCCATTTCCAGTTGCCAGCTGCACGTTAGCAGTTGCATGCACATATTTGTCCACTAATTGGGCCAAAATGCTGGCTATCAAAATATATTAGGCAGATCTCTCAACTATTTTTTATGGATTGCCTAACAAACGTGGCCACAACAATCATTTACGCAAATGCGACGACGCTTCGTGCCGCTTGTTGTAATGAGAACTCGTTTGCCACTGCCGTGGTGCGGCTGCACTCTGGCTGTGGCATGTGGTTGTGCTATTATATAAAGTTAATACAGCTTTTGGTGGAGAGTTGCCGGCGGGCAGGCGCAGGACTAAGCATACAGTGGAGCTATCAAAACTGCTCGGCCACTTGACTCTCATTGTTGTTTAATTTACATTTTATTGTTATGGTTTTGTTATTTTTATGGTTTTTATTTTGTTTTTCGTTGCATCATTCAGCAAAACAACAGCTGACGACAAACAGCATAAGCATGATGAACTTACAACTAATTTGCACGCGTTGCGTGGCGCCTGCGGCAATAATTTCTTCCTCTTCTTCTTCAGCAGCGGCTGCTGTTTGTTGTGGTCGCTGTTTAGAGACGTGCGCGTGTCGTGCCCCAAGCGATCACTTCGATCACGACTCATGCCATACACAGTTGCTTAATTTGCAACAATTGCTCTAAAAACAATTGCTTCTTTTATGTGTGAAATTTGCTATAAATTTTCGCAACATTTTTCCGAGCTTGCGACAATTGTTGATTGCAGTGCAGCACTAAAAGAAGGGCAAAAGTGGTGGATGGGGGATATGGGGAGGAATTGGCAATTCACAATGTTCTGCCTGAGCTGTTTGATAATGTTACTGGCACATTCTGCAAAGTGAAAGGCAGCAATTACAGAAACAGCACCGATTTTATTAAATAATTATACAAAGTTTCTTTATTTTTTTTTTGTCTGACAAAACATATGTCAATGTTACCACTGCTGACTGGCGGGGGTGGAGGGGAACTGATGCTGGACGCATTATATAAAGCAGCCAACATCATATCAACAAAGATCACATAAACTCGCATGTAAGCGAAACCCGTCGACTTCCTCAGCACAACACGCCCCCTCGGGCCACAGCCACAATGCCAACGTTTGACAGAAATTATTTCTGTTTTTTTTTGAGCATTTTTGTTTTGTGTTGTGGCTGCTGAGTCTCAGGTGCGCCCGTACAGCAAGTAAACGAAAGTCTACAAAATAGTCTTCCTGCTTAAAGTAGCAGCCAAACACGAGCACACCACAACCAACTGCAAAAAAAAACACACACACACACACAAAGAAAAAAAACAGTAAAATGTTAGTAACAACGTATAGCGCACTATTAAATTATGTATGTATCTTTAATCTGGATGTCTTGAGTCGACTTGACACACTGTCCCAGTTTCGCATTTATCGTCGCTGTAATTGAGTGACAAAAAGCAATTAAAATGTACTACGATAGTGGGCTGGCTGGCTGTAAGATATTTAACTCGCAGCTCCCTCGTACAAAGTGTTGAAATTATAATCAACCAAAACAGGAAGTTACAAGAAAAACAAATTTACGCAAATTTTCATTTTCTAGTGAGTTATTATATATATATTTAAATCAAATTAAACTAATTAGACTATATTTACCGACTAGGTGGCATTTGTAAGAAAAGGGAAATATTTATGAAGCTATTTTAGAGCTCTTATTAACGTATTGTTGTCGGTCAAGAAGCACTTTGAAAGAACGTTAGTCACTTAATAAGTACTATAAAATAAGTAGTATAAAAAACTTACGCTCTTCAGTTTAAAATATTGGCAAGCACATAGATAAACAAAAGACTTAGGACACGATGTTGCTCCATTTCCAAGGAACTATCATCACAACAGTCAACTTCATTTGCCCAATCAAAAGCAATCACTTAATTAATGCATATTTTCAATAAAAATCTCAGCTATATCATAGATGAAATGTCAAATTTCATAATTGTGTCTGTTTGTTGTTGTTGTTGGTCGGCATGAGCTGTACAATCGTTAGCTGAATTTATTATGGGTGCTGAAAGCATCGTTTTGAGTATATTGATTTTAGTTGGTTGGCTTTCTGAATCGAGACCATTCGATAGCCGAGAGCATAAACAAAACAAAAGAGGTTTTGGCGCAATCGCAGCGCCATTCGCTGGCGCCTCACCTTGATCCAAAAGTTTGAGACAAAAGTGCCAGCAAACAAAAGTCTATACGTATCTATGGCTCTAGTAACACACATCGGCTTGGTTTGAATGGCTTTTGACGAGTCTCTACTATATTTACCAGCCTTTTTTGCATCCTTCTGTTTTCCCATTGCAGTGCATGCTGAGCGCGGCGCTGTGCTTGGTGACCGCCTTGGGGCAGCCCACGTCCCCCACAAAATCATCGGCCAGTGGCTATCCCAAGAAGGTGACCACACTGAAGAAGCGACCCACAAAAACGCCTGGTATCACAACACTGGGCTCGTCCTCCTCAGCCAGCGGACATCCACCCACAACAAAGCCAAGCAAACCGCGCGTCAAGATTGCCAGCAAGACGACAACGACAAAGCCGCCATCGCTGGCCGCTAGCTTTGGCAATTTGCCCGCTGATGATCTGGAATTCATCAAAGAGCTGGACAAACAGTTCAAGCTGCACGGCAGCAAGATCAAAATCAAAGTGGAGCGTGATAATTCAACCAGCAGCAACGCCGACGGAAAGACCAGCAAGCGCACCATCGACGGCGAATTGGGGTCAGTGACTTTTCTAATGTAGTGTGGTAGTGATAGCCGGTAGTGCTCTTTGGAGGTGCTTCGAACCAGTTCCCCATTTAATTGTGACCTCATGGTGATTTGCTTTAAGCAAGAAAATTGCTTTAAATTTCAAAAACCAGCCGTTTATATGCGCAATTTTAAAATTTAGAAGCGCCAAATAATTTTTAAAAAAATATATAACATTTATGAATGCTCGAGTTGATCGAGTTTGACTAGAAAATACCCTGAACCCAAATGCTGTTAAATTCATTAAATGTATCTTTAAAAGGCTTTGCAGACTCAAATGTAAGCAGGTGTGGAAGGAATCTCATTTCTTACTGTCGAAGCTGATACTTAAGGGTAAAGAAAACTAAGCCAGGTTTTTATTCACCAACCCAAACTGAAATCTCCGACTTGCCACAAGAGCGTGCCCGCAAATTTGTTGCATATATGTATTTATACTCTGAACCCAGTTTATAAATACATTATGGCTTGCTGATAGTAGTTTCTTCCATATGAAAATACGTTTTGGTTAACAAAATGTGTGCTTCTTATCAAATTGGATATGAATGTACTTTAAGGGGTATTTTGCCATTATTATACCCTTATTACCAAAGTTTATAAAAATGATGAAGAGATCCACAAATAAGATTTAGTTTCTTAACGAATTTTTGTGTTTATCTTCCTATTAAAAATAAAAGTTAGGACCAATTGAAAAACAAAGATTGCGGAAATTCATTTATGCAAGTTTTTAAGCTATTTAGTCTCAAAAGTATTATGTCAGTATTAATATGACATTAACATATCTTCCGTATCTTGAGTTACATCACTCATATTACTCGATATCTTTAAATACGAGTTTGGCAAATCTTTCATGTTCAAAATCCTTTGTGAGGTGTAAAAAGCAACAAAATAATAAACAAGTTATGTATTTTGATATAAATGTAGAAAAATATGAAATATATTTTAATGCAATCAGATTAACATCACATTTTAACATCATGATTGACTTTTTACCATAAAAGTGAATGGGAACCGGTTACCGAATGGCCTTTCAAGATCTTCCAATGAAAGCGAAAACTGCAACAGACGCAACATTTAATGAATTGTTCTTCAGTTCTTCAGTTCTTCAGTCAAAATGATAATGCTCTGTTTTTCCACAGCTATGGCTACTCGCATCAGGGATATGACTACACACCGCCCAAGTTCATGTTCTACCCGTACTCGCAGCACGATATACCCGCCACGGAATCGCCCGATATTTATACGGGCTACTCGCAAGCGGATTATGAGCAGCCGGGATCTGCACATTCGGAGCAACAGGTGCCCATTCAGCATCAGCAGGTGACCAGCGTGACCATTGAGCCCTCCTATTCCTACGAACTGAAGCCACAAACCAGCTACGAAACACATCAGATGGCAGTGAAGGAGCCGCTACATCCTCATCCTCAACTCCACGCTGAGCAGCCGCAAATTGATTTACCCCAGTCGCATCAGCAGACAAGCGGCCCGGGACTCGATGCTGCTGGCTATCAAGAGCCGGTTATAATCCTGCGCATCCCGGGACCGGCGAAATATGCAGCGCATTTGCAAACGCTGCTGCAGCAGTATCTGGAAATACGTGCAGCGCAATATCTTCAGCTGCTGCAGGAGGTGGAACAGCGCAAGCATCATGATCAGCATCAGCACGAGGAGCTGTCCCCACCGCAGTCCTATGCCTCGGCTGAGCAACACCAGCCGGCCCACTATCATGCGGATGTGGACTTTGCCCATCAGGTGGCGGCAACACCGCAGCCCATCGAGTATGCGCCCATTGACGATGTGTACCAGGGCTACAAGGGTCGTCATCAGTCGCAGCCGCAATACGAGCAACCCGCTTCAGAGGAATATTACGTACCCACCAGCTATCAGCAGCAGCATCAGCATCAACATCAACAGCAACCAGCGTTCTACTACACTCAGCAGCAGCATCAGCAGCAGGAGCAGCAGCAGCACGAGCAGCAGCAGGCGCAATACGAGACAAGCTATCAGCCTCAGCTATATCTAATAGCGATGGGACCGCAGCATCAATACGCCAATGTGCCATCGGCAGCGGGGCAGCAGCAACCCATTTATGTGCCAGAACATGAGCCGGAGTCAGCTGGTCACGAGCATGAGCATGAGCTGCCCACCACCGAAAACAATCCGCGACCCACACACACCAAGGTCATCTTCAAGCCGCAAAACACGGGCGCTGACTATGCTACCAACATGTATCCTATGCCCGCCATTCAATCATACGCCGAGGAGCACCACCATCAGCAGCAACAGCAGCAGCAGGCGGAGAGTGGTCATGCGGATCATGCGGCAACAACAGCTGCCGATTATCAGCCATCGCATGAGCCGGACGAGGCCATGGCCATTACGCAGCCGCCATATAATTACCATGCCCACGGCCTGAAGATGCGACAAGGAAAGCGGGCGGCCATCGCGGAGCAAACGGCCGATCATCAGCTGCAACAGATACGCGAATATGTACGGGAGAAGCTCGGCGCCGAGATGGGCTCGGCGGTTGAGTACAAGACGTCGCAGCTGCTGGAGGGTTAGATATTGTTAATATTATTATGTGTATGTACCATATAACTACATTGTTCGTTTATGTTTGTCTGTTGTTTTCTTATGTGGCCAGACATGTATATTTCATTAGTATTTATTCTGTGTTGGCAGCCCAACAATTGATTCCACTTGTTGGAAAGTATATCAGTTGCTTGCCTTATTTTCATCAACAAATTCGAATTCATTTCGCGTTGACATTATAATATCTTTCACATTCATGCCAAATTGTTTTTTATTATTGTAACTCCATTGGATTATTTGTGCCTTTTCTTTTATTTGGTTTCGCTAACAACAAAACATTGTGTTAAATATGTGCAATAATTAGTTTGTATTGATATGTGCTTTTGAATTTATATATAGTTTTGCACTAATAAAATATGTAAAATATGTGAAAGCGGTTTGTGTTTTTTTGGTCGTTATATACCATGTAAGATAGTTCAATTATTGGAAAGGGTATCCAATTGGCGAAATATGAAATTAACTAGTCAAATAACAACTGATTTCACTGGCAAAGCCACATGGGGGCAGTGCGGAAAGGCACTGCACATTCCTGCATCTTAACTTCATATAGAGGAAATTTGGCCACTCCCCTTTACGCCCTTCGCTGCTTGTGGAAAATTAAAAAAGCTGAATTCTTCAGAGTAAAACAAAATTTAGTCTGACTACGAATGCACTATGGACAAAAAGTCATTTTTTATACTCTGACACCAAAGGTCAGTCTGTTTGTCAGTCTGTATGAACTAACGCAACTTTTTTCGACACCATGCTAGAGCTAGAGAGTTGGGCGGGTTAGGAAATCAATAAAATCAATTATCGGAAATCGTTAATTGCGTAATAATATAAAATTAAATTTGGAAGGTAAATGACCCGTGACCCTATCTAAATATCGCTAATAAAATGTTTGGTCACGCCCACTCAGATAGTGCAACTCGATAAGACTGCATATCTTCCACAATCTTAAAGTTAAACTCTCCAAACCTGAAACAGTAATTGCTGGTAACATCCTTAAGAGATCGACATGGGAATTTCCGTGCCACACTCACCATTTGAGTGAGTGATAGTTAGCTTAAGTAGGGTATCTTTTAGTCGACGAAGTGTGTTGCTAACAATTGCAGGTAAATAAATTAGCATGTACAGCAGACTAGTATGTGGTAATAAGTGGTATATGTTAGTCAGGCACTCACGACCAACAGCAAACGCCAATTCATTTGCTGCCTGAAAGCATGCCACATTGTTGCACATTGCACTTCGAATTGTCGCATTTTGCAGAAAGCAAAAAAACACCTCAAATGTACTTTTAATGCGGAACATCTATCGCCCAGGTGATCTTATGCAATTTGCAACGGTCACCCGGAAATCACGCATAAGACCGATTAAGCTGCACACACAATAAAATTAATTTGAAAATAATTTTGGCATTTCGGCTAGTTTTTTTCTTTCAACTTTTTATTTGCATTGCCTTAGTGTTAAATGCCAGAGTTTTGAAAATATATACATTGCACACAATAAATACAAAAATTCACATTTAAATAACAACATGTGGCAATCACGCGAAATTGCTGCCAAACGAACAGGAAATACAGAGAGCAGCAACCAAATTAAATTATCGTACAAATCGATTTTAGACACGGAGTTTAAGACTGAGTTTTCGATTTCAATTCAGTTAAGCGGCTTTCGGTGTGATTAAATTTCAGTTTTTCCGTATTTTTTGGGGATCGCATTTTCACACTGATTCGAACTGATTTTTTGGTCACCAGATAGATTCTGCATTTGATGAAATGCATTTTTTGATCAACTTCAATTTCAATTATTTGATTTGTTCTGCATCTGAGTTTAAGTATTTTATAAAAGTTTGGTTTATTTTGTTTTGCATGAAACTAAAGCAATTTCTGAATGATTTCTCATTCGATTGCAGTTCATTGTATAGATGGAAAACAATGTTCTAGAAAAATATATTTGCACAGTTTTCCTGGGCCAACAAGTTTAGTTATAATTCGCTCAGTTTAAGGCGCTTGGCAACTTTCACCTACATAATTTGTTTACTTAAGAGCGTCGTTTGTATGGCCAGCTTAGCCTGTTGCTACATCATTTAAATGAGTTTACGTAAAACTCAACTATGCAAACCAAACAATTAGCATAATCAGCTGCCGCAATGGACGGTAAATTGTGCCAATTTCTATAATTTTTCCTATTCAAATGCGGCAGTGGCAACGTTTTGTGGCTGGTATAGTAGCTCTGGCTGCATCTCGACTTTCCAGTCGAAAACATGCATATGTATGTGTGTATATTTTAAAATGCACACAAAATATGCAACATTTGCAACACAAGAGGCGCAAGCAACTTCCGCGCACAAAAAATGAGCTGCACTTCCAGATTTCTATCAAGCAGATGCAACTAAATGCATTTCCAATTGGCATCTGGATGCAGCCTTTATGGCCGCTATGCGTGCCAACAAACCAATCGTTTTGAAATTGAAAGTTTTCTTCCGAATGTTGATCGATTGGCCATTGCTGTCACGTTGGGCCACGTTGGGCATAGTGCACGGGCATATAGCCAAGATAGCGGCCCTGCCCATTACCCGGCCAGGTGGTCTGATATTTAACAAAAATTTCTCGCATGAGATAATTGCCATTAATGAAACGAAGCTGAAACAACTTTCAAATTATGATTCTGTCCCATTGTGCCCCATCTGAAGTATGGAGTATCATATGTGTTGTGGGCACTTCCGGAAGCATTGAGGACACCATAGATCCCAACACAAAACCGATTTAAAGGAAAGCAAATAGAGCTAGCATGTATAGCCCATAAAACATATAATGATCTAAATGCTGCCATAACAATGGACCCATAAAACACCGCTACAAAAACAACAATTCACTCACTTGCCTGCCAGCAGCAGCAGCAGCAGCAGCAAATTAATAACTTAAGCGTCAGGCCGAACACAAAACGTAACATTTTCCAACATTGTCCAAGCGTTGCAAAAACCGTTATACAGCACAGTGGCACAAACTCAGCTCGAATATGCCGAAAGAATTGACAGCATTCGCCATACCAGTCATTCTGCAGAGCGTTTCTATTTTGGATATTGATTTTCTTATGAAAATCTGATAGATTTCATTGAATTTCTTTCGGAATTGTTTCATGTTCCGCAGCTCAATATTCCATCCCAGCACTAGAACACAAAAAGCCCTGCGAGTCATTCAAAATTGATTATATTGGAGGAGTGCAAGTATCTTACTAACTTCATATAATAATAGTCTACTCGCTATTGATCTGACTTGTATTATTAACTCTATATAAATATATTATAGTTAATCTTAATAAATAAAATAATCCAAAAAAGTATAAAAAAAAGTAAGCCTAGCAAACTATACGAAAGCTGTGAGAATATTTAAATGAACTATTCTAGTTAATAATTGTTATTTATACCCAATTTAATCATCTACATTCATCACTAAATTGCTTAACAAATTTTAAGAGATTATTAATGTTTTATAAATAATTTATTTTGATTTTTTATAAAGTGAACTTACGGCTTAAATAGAACTATTCGCAGTGCTTTTACAGAACATGAAAACTTTCTATGGAGAATCTAATATGCACTCGGAAAACTAATCGAGCTAAATAAGCCGACTTACGAGCTGCATTAAATGGATTAAGCCACTGTGCACTCGTCACTCGGCCGTTGCCGCCAGTGCAACTGTTGTTGTTGGTTTAGGCCATATAACGCACATGCATTGCATTCAAGTATTCGCATTGGCAAGGTTGTTGATCTTCACATGTGGCATGCCCAGTCCCAGTTTCAGTCCCGTTGCCGCTTGCCGACATGCGAATATTGTGATTGTTTTGTTTGTTTGTGCTTGCTGCATTGGGAAATCGTTTTCGTTTTCGCTTCTATTATTATTTGCGGTTAAGTGTGGCAAATGCTTTTGCCAGAATATAAATATAAATCATAGCAACTTGTCGGTTAGCATGGGATAAACTTAAGTGAACAATGAACCCATTTCACCTCAGCCAGCTTATTTATTTATTGGCCACAATCGAAATTGTAATCTTGTTTTTAATTCCATTGGACAAGTGCATCACTATGTTGCAGTTGTTGCGAACAGCTGCGGTTGCGGCTGTTTAAGCTGACTCTGATAAAAATCATCATACATTTTTTGTGCAGCTCTTTTCTCTCCATTAATTACTATGCACCTAATCAGTGACCATGAAGAAACTGAAACCTTAAAGCGCATAGACGAAACATTGAAAAACAAAAACCATTTGCCCAGCCACTCGTTTATCTTGAACAATTTTTGCTGTTGATGTTGTGCGAGTGGTTGGCATGTGGTGCTGCAGTCTATTATAACTGGATAGTCTCATTGCAGTAACAGCTCAACAGCCTGTGGGCTACAGTTAAGACATATTTTAAGGAATTCATTAAATGTTAAATTTAAATGAAGAAATTTTTTAATAGATTTATGAAATTTATAAAAATAAATGGCGAAAATGGGAAAATATCTTAACCTTGATTTTTTATTTATTACTTGAAAAATATGAAATGTGCAAGAGCTCACTGGTTCATTAATCTTGTGTTCCTGACTTATTTACTACGTTTTTTTTAAATTTTACTTATCTCTCTCCCTCTCTCTCCTTTTAACAACATGTACTACTACGAGTACATCCTCAAAATCACTTTTTTGCTCCTATCAATTTTCTTAACCTCCTCAGTTTTACTATTAGTCTTTTCTCTCTCCCGAACGTGACAACATTAATAATTGGGTGCTTAGCAGGTATATAAATGTATATCTATTTTATATCTATCTATTCATTCATTTGGAGATTAGCTTATCATAAGAAAAATGCTAAGTCTGACATTGCAAATTACGGAGGAATTGCCAACCTATCAATTGTCATAAAATTCATATTAGATGACACAGTTGACCCTGTCCTTTTGTTGGATAAGTTTAATTGTTTGGGATTCCCTGCCTCGTAGAGGCAACCTTCTTTCATCCAATCGTAGCAAATTGAACGGACGCTAGATATGAGAGACGTCAGCATTTCATTGAACTGTATTTTCACTGTGTGTGCAGCTTATGGCTTAATTGGCCAAAACGAAATCGAAACCGACACTAAAACCAGTTAAACATTTGACATTTGATTTGTGTGTTTTTGCACTTGCTGTACTTACCGTAAGTTCGGGCTCATCACACCAGGCGTATGCGTTACGGTTCATAATTATATTCGAACAGATCACGCATACGCAGTGCGTTGAATAGCCGTTACAATTTGAATGTTTTATGGTAGAGGTGTTGAAGATTGCCGCCTTTGTTGCCTCAAAAAAGCGAATGTCTCCGTAACTGCACATCTCCCCTTCTCTCTCTCTCTCTCTCTCTCTGTCTCTCTCTCTATCGCACTCACTCTCTCGCTCTGTTTCGGTTGTGCTTTCTGAGTGTAACCAGCATGTTTTCTTTTGCGCACACATTCGCATAAATTTTCCGCTGCACCGGCAGCGTCATTATAAAAGCCTCGCCTTGCCAGCTCGGCGCAAACAATTCAAATCCAGTAACAGTCGCGAAATGATGTCCGCTATGTCAACGCGTTGTCGGTGCAAGAAGAGCCTACAGCAACTGAGCCTGAATCATCGGCTCTGCCTTGCCGCGGCCATGCTAATTGTAAGTAGTGCAATCGCAAGTGGTAACACCAAGTGGCAACAGAGCCTTGCTGCAAGCAACAAAGGATTTAAACAGTTGGTTTCGTTATTTTTTTACTGTGTGTGTGTGTATGTGTGTGTGTGCGGGTGCCTCAAGTTTGAATTAAAAAGTGATTTTTTATTAACATCAAAATACCTATAAATATATATACAACAATACATGCAAACATAATAATTAGCAGCAGAATTGTGAATTCCTATAATTTTTTTGTAACTATATGGATTACAAATTAGAAACAATACATGAAAATAATAAACGGTTCTGTGGCATTACTACAAGCCTTGTTGTTAAATGCAAAATATTTATGATCTGCACATGAGTTTTGAAGCAGACATTCAGTTCACCCAGTCTATGGGTCCTGTAGATAGAAACACATAAAATTACTAAATTAAGTTCATTTCCTAGTCCAAAATAACCCACAGCTTCCATATTTATATTCGTAAAAAAATGTCTCTCAAATCTACTAAGAAAGGATGAATAAAGAAATATTTATAAAATATATATTATAAATATCATAATTTCGTAATATTATAGATTGTTTAATCTTAAAAAAGTATATCTTTCAATAGTTAATTTTTATATAATATTTACATGAGAGCAAAAACATACAACGTTGTCAGATCGAATGAGATTAGCTTTTGTATCAATAACACTTATTTAAGCCTTTCAGCAATTTGGTTTGAACCAAAAAAGCAGTTTGTATCTATAAAGAATTAAAAAATTAAATTACAGAGGATCTCTATATGGGATATGTATACAAATATATCCCATATGTCTCCGATTCATTTAACTGGAAAGCCAGGCGATAGTTAAAGACACCAGCTAAAGACTCAGTCATGGTCAAATAGACTAACACAAAAAATAACCCTTATATTTACTGAAGCTGTTAATTTTCTAATAGCTATAGTTATCCAGTTTGTGATTGCCTTGATCGCCGACAGGCACTAAGCAGTTTGTAATCGGCAATCAGCTTCAATCGCAACCAAATTGCGTGTCTTAAACATTTCATGTTGGTGCCGCCAACCACCAAACTGAGTTGTTGCAGCTACTGCTGCTGCTGCTGTTGCAGCTTTATGCTTTTACTCTTGCCCCTCACCCATGAGCATGGGCCAATGAACTTGCATCGGACGCAACTCAAGCTACAAGTCATTCACAAGACCGAGAGGTATATATAGTGCTCCTCCCCATCACGCCCGAAAGCGAAAGCGAATTGGTTAACTTTAATTAGTTTAATTACAAAATATATATAAATATCTGAACACAAAAAGCAAATGGTCAACTGACGGTGCGCTTTACATTCACATGGCTGACAAATCGACACTGACTGACATCGGACATAAAAAACAATTACAATTTACTCCACTTTGGTGTCTCACTCACTTCTCTGTCTCTCTCTCTCTCTCTCTCTCTCTCTCTCTCTATCACTTGCACTTGCAGTTCTCAATGCAGGTCTCGGTGTGTGGTGCACAGTCGCAGCCACGTATGAGTCGACGACCCGCCGGAAAGACAACTGTGGAGGACTCCAGCGAGAAGAGCGTGGTGCCCGATCAGTTGGCGCTGGCGGCGATTCGCTCTAATGGACATGGACGCAGTTTTGCGCGACGTGGTGTTCAACAACACTCAAGGACCAA